CCCGACCCGGCTGCAGAATCTGGTCCCGGGAAAGCTGTGCTCGCACGAGTGTCCCGAGACCCTGCTGGGCCACGGACTCGCACTTTGTGTGTGGGGGGTCCCTTTCCAGGTCTGTGAGGTAAAAGAACTGGAGATCAGCAGGTAGTTGCTGTAACCGGAGCCGGTGCCTCCTCTTTGACCTGTGGCCGCGCGGGTCCTTTGTGGCCCGGAGGAGATGCCAGCTTGGGTTTGGGGCCGGGCGGCGGCGGGTCGACGTGCTCATTGTTAGTCCCGAGAGCCTTTCTCAGCTGCCTTTCACTTTATTTGGACGCTCCCGTGCGCCAGGCTCTGCTCTGTTATGAGGACCCAGAAGTAGTTGTCGTGAATCCTGTCCTTGAGCTTGGTCTGGAGGAGCCGACAGTTTCTATTGTGGGGCTCGGCGGTGGCGCTGCGGGCGGGAGCTGGGGTTTGTTGGTGGAAATGGGGGATTCTGATAAAGGGAAAGCGTGCGAACAAGCAAACGGGCGGGCAGAGCTGGGGTGGGACGAGTCACACAGCGAGAGCTTCCTCGGGCACTTTAGGGGGTTGGGTGGTTCGGGCATGAAGAGGGTCCCCCACTTACCTGAGACAGAAAGAGCATGTTCTGCAAAGGACCGTAGTCCTGCAAGTCCTCTTTGCAGGAACCGTGACTTCCAGGGTCTTTCTTCACCACGCCCCCGCCTCTCCGCCCATCCTTTGTCCCCTTACATCTTTCTTTGGAGGTTTATATATTTTTTGGTTCTTTTTCCCCGATGGCTCCATACAGATTCTTGGTGCCTTAGCCGAAGTCTGCTGTCATCAAAATGAACTTGGGTCTGGGAGTTGCTTTAACCACTTCTTTATAGCTGTATCTTAGATTTTGAAATAGAAAAGCATTGAGCTGGCCACCCTCCCTCGAGTATTTCATAACCTCATCTCTGTCATCTTTCTAAATTGCTCCTATTTATATTTTGTTACCCATGGCGTCTGGATGTAAGGATTTCAGTGGCTGGCAGAATTGTTGAGGGCAGTCAGTTACAGTGTGTGCCTCTAGCGTACCTACCCGCATCCCAGAATGAGCAAGCTAGATTGGAAGGGACAGAGCAGCCTATTGGGACCCTAAGTTGTCCTTTGTTGGTGGAGTGGCTTGAGACTCCCTTCAAGAGTTTTTGGGGCAAATGGGAGTAGAGTTTAAGATGCTGTGTTCAGAGAACTGACATCTGGAAGCAAAAGTATGAAACAGGCAGAGAAAACACAGCTTTGCAGAGCTTGATATCTTGGTGGTTTCCCAGCCCTTTGCTTCTCTCTCTTAAATTGAGAATCTTTTTTATCACTCTTAGTACTTTCATCAGCTATTTGTTAGTTACGCTGATAAAAAGTTTCGTTGATAAAGTCGATTGAAATAAAACACTAAAATGGCTTTGGACTTCATTTAGTAAAAAAAAATCCTCACTCTGTTATCAAAATAACTGGAAAGTGAATGTTTTTGTCTTTCACTTAAGTGCTAAAGGTTAATGAATAAAGAACAATTTTATGCTTTTTCTCCCTGTCCCCCAGCTGATTTAAAAGTCCTAAGATGTGGCCTAGAAGGAGGTCCCTCTTGGTACTATAGGCAGATACACAGACGTGAGAACGTGTTCCTGGCTTTAGGAAATTGCCACCATTATTATCGCCATTTGCAAAGGAGAAAACCAAGGCCCAGAGCCGTTAAATGATGCATGCCCAAGGTCACTGTTTCCTGGTCAAGGTCCATCTAGAGCATGACTTCACTGCATTTTGCAGTGATTCTAGTACTAATCTGTAGTAATAGCTTTGCCATTCATGCATTAATTCAACAAATTGGAAGGTGAGGGGGCACCTGTGTCAAAAAGGAGACATAAAGACAGAAAGCAAGGGGACGCCGAACAAGCGTAATATGTACTTCGCAGTTGGAGTTATTGGTAGTCACCTGTCAGAGGGTGGGGAAGGCAGATGTTTCGCTTTGTTATCTTTTGAAATGGGGAGTTTCCAAACTTGATTTTTTAGAGGTGGTTCTGTAGACTCATTAGTCTCTGAGATTTGACTGTTCCTTTTACTCTGTAGTAAGACTAACAGTCTGGTTATTCTTTTCAGTTTCTTTACAGATGTTTAAATAACAAAGAAAGGGGAGCAAAATGAGCTGGGCTTTGGAAGAATGGAAAGAAGGGCTGCCCACAAGGGCTCTTCAGAAAATTCAGGAGCTCGAAGGACAGCTGGATAAGCTAAAGAAAGAAAGGCAGCAAAGGCAGTTTCAGCTGGAAACTCTGGAGGCTGCACTGCAGAAGCAAAAACAGAAGGTACCCCTGAAATGCTGCTGTTTACGGCTGTACCCTCGTTCTTTGGATGAGTTGCATCATCTTGGTCTGTTCCATTTAGAGAAAAATGATTTTGCTGTTTTAGGTGGTAGTGACCCCTCTCCTTTTTTGAGTCATTTTAATTTTAGTAACCTTGTTTTCTCCATCCTCTGTCCTTGTTTCTGCTTACCTGCTTATATTTAGGGGCCCAGTATAGAACACTTTGTGGTCCAAATGGCTACCACCCTTTGAGGGTGAGCTTTTCAACGTGATATTCCCAAACCTTCTCTATTCAGGACCAGCACTTCTTTCTTACCTCTTCACTAACCAACAGAGTGGTGATACAGTTAGTGCTTCTAAAATGCTTTTGCCAATGGGAGAATATTCCAGTTTCTTACAATAACTGGCTTTAGCAGCCAAGCTTGAAAATGAATCGCTAAGGGAGATTTGGAGGGCTTATTTTTGGTGTTTTGATTCTTGAAAGCATACTATAAAGCCTCTCTTTCTAGGATGGATATGGTACGTGTAGCCCTGACCAAAGGTGATGTAATGCATGACCTTGTAGAACTTTTCTCTCTAGAGGCTTTAAAGGGAGGCCATTTAAATATCTGCATTCATCAAGCATTGCCATCGGATTATTACAGCCCTGTCTCAGGAAATTAGTCGTCAGTGCTAAGCTCAGATTTACAAATCATGCTCGGTAAGTTCACTAAGTAAGAGACCCTTTTCTTTTGAACAATCCGTGTTAGGTTGAGAATGAAAAGACGGAGGGCACAAACCTGAAAAGGGAGAATCAAAGCTTGATGGAAATATGTGAAAATCTGGAGAAGGCCAAGCAGAAGATTTCCCACGAACTTCAAGTCAAGGAGTCACAAGTGAATTTCCAAGAGGGACAATTGAGTTCAAGCAAGAAACAGATAGAAAAACTGGAACAGGAACTTAAAAGGTAATTTTTTTGAATGGTATTTACATGGATGTCTGTGTGTATTCATCAGATGCATTTCTCTTTTCCTCGAATGATGTAATAATTATACATTGCAGTGTATTTTTTCCAGTGGGAAAAAGCATAATCTAAGGAAAATTGATTCTCATATACTTCAGTCCTGTCATTGCATAGCTCGGTATAATATAAATTCGTTAAATGGTTGCTCCCTTCATTTATTCATTCAGCATATCTTTATTAAGCTTCATATGCCAGACACTCTGTTACTGTGTGATACAATAATAAATAGTACCAAAACTGTGCTGAGGAGAACTGTTGGGCCCAGGAGTTTGGAGACCAGGAATTTATAGTAGGACCCATCTATAGAGTTGTATGATTTCTTTCTTTTTTTTCTTTAGTATTTGGGATGTAAATGCTGTGAAGGTGAACAGGAGGATTGATTTAGGATTGTTTTTGGCTAGGACAATGGGATGGAAGACCTGGAATGATTGAGGATATTGGGAAGAGAGTGGTTAAATGCCGTGGAATTGGAGCTGGAAAGCGGTGGAGGGAAGCAAAGTCAGGAAAGAGGTTCCTACTGAGATCGTCTGAGAGGGATCAGACTCTTACTTAGTCATTTTGCCAATTTCATTGTCAGATTTATGCAATAAAAAAAGGTGCTTATTACTACTTTTCCATTCAAAAGATGCTCCAAACAACTCGAGGCATTATCAAAATAAATTTAGTGGGACCTAAACACTGCTAGTTTATGAATATTGGAATCTTCTTGTTCTGATAGTGGAATTTTGCCAAAGTAACGAGGTGTGATAAAAGCTAAAAGCAAAAAGTACTTTAGGAAATTGTTCCATTGTTGAGTCTGCAAATGCATACCCAGAAATTAAAAACAAAATTATTTTGAAGTTACAGAAACACTTGTTAACATCTTATATAACCAAAGTGCAATGACAAAACTAGAAATAAACATTGACTCAATACTGTTAACTACAGACTTTATTAGAATTTGAATGGTTTTTCCAGTAATGCCTTTTTTTCTGTTCCAGGATCCCAAATTGCATTTAGTTGATGTTTTTTTAGTCTCAGAAACCTTTTTTTAAATTTTCTTTTGTCCATGTAGGAAAGTGCCTATCTTTAAGGTGCATGTTAGAATGATAAACTTTGAGCTCGTTGAGTTTTTTGTTTTCTTGTTTCTCACCTGTTATCCCAAACTCCATGCGAATGGGGATCTTGTCAGTTTTGTTTATTACTGTAGCTTTAGCAAATGGCGGTTGTAGGTCTTCAAATATTTGTTGAATGAAAGATAGGCATTCGTTTTGAAAAGCAGGTGTTAGGGAAGTAGGAGGCTGACCTCAGTATACTGGAGTAATTATTTCTTTGGAAAGCACATTTTGGCTGCTAGTTTTAGAAATACTGGTTTTAATAATTTACATAGAAATGTTTGTATTTTTAACACTTAGGACCAGATACTTTTGTATACAATTCTATATTTCATTGCTAAGTGCCATTTGGTAGCAATAGTTTTGTAGATATGCAGTGCACAGGGTACTTACATGACACATAGCAACTTCTAAATGTTAGCATTATTATTATCATTATTACCAATTGTTATTAGTTGTCATCATCATCATAGCACATTTAGTTTAGAAATATTCTTTTCTGTGATGTGGATATAGATGTTTTAAAAGTTTATAAACTATATAAACTTTAGACTAACAATTATTAAAAATATAGTTTTCTGTAGTATAAAAACTGTTGAGTATAAAAACTAGACCACAAAACTATTTAATATAGTTTTTAAATTCTCACTGGTAACCGTCAAGTGCAGGGCAGGAACTTATTTTCTCCATCAGTGGCCACTGATTACATTTCAGGAAAGTCCTGACAAAGTTAGGTTGAACCATTTGAAATGTTGATCAAAAACTTGAATATCGGCAATCTTGTGTAGCTAAACTTAGAAAACAGCTTAATTTTGTGCTTTTTTTTGTGTGTGGTGGTGGTTCGTGTTTTTCTCTTTAAGAAAAGGAGAAACAAAGGTTTATGAAAATAATAGCAGGATATACTTTTATTTAATATTTAAAATAAATGAACTTTTTTTTTTTTTAAATAAAAGGATAGGGAAAAGGGGGTAAGATGTGAATTTGAGAGGGAAAAGAAACACCTATTTTTCAAGGTTCTTCAAAATTCATCTCTAGAATTACTAACCTTGTGACACATTTGGTAGTCTGTAGATAGACCTCCATTGTCCAAAATGGTAGCCACTGGCTACAAGTGGCTTTTGAGCACTTGAAATGTGGCTCCTGCAAATTGAGATGTGCTCCAAGTTCTGAAATTTAGTAAAATAACACAAAATATCTTATTAATATTTTATTGATTACAAGTTGAAAGGACAGTATTTTGAAAACATCAAGTTAAATATTAAGGTGAAATTCACATTTCTTACTACTTTTTTCATGTTAATGGAACATTTCTATTGGATAGCACTGTTACCTGCTGTGAGTTCCAATGTGATGATCTGATTTGCTGAGTAGTAATTTTCAGCTCATACATTGCTTCTTCCCAGATTGAAGCTGGGGCTGGGGGAGCTAGGGCTCTGAGACACTTTCTTCACTCTCTGCTTTGAGGAATGTGTCCCTGGCTAAGAGACTGGTGCATTGTCATTAGCCGTTCTGATAGGATGATGTTCATTATATTTCTCTGTTAAGCTAAGATCAGAGACATTAGGGACTTGCGAGAATTGAATCCTCTTTTAACTTAGGTTGCTTGATTCTGAAAGTTGCTCAGAACTTAAGTGCTAGGGGTATTCTGTACATACATACAATATGTAGCTTACTCCCCCCATTTCTTTGCAACTGTTTTCAGCCATATGTTTCTGCATTATGTGAACTTGACTTTTATATCTTTTTAAAAAATGTCTTAAAGTACATGGTACGTATATCAAGTCTATGCTTTTGTCACGACTTGATAATATAAATTATGCTGTCCAGTTTTGTGATGTCAGCCCATGCTTCAGGGATACCAATTTTTCCTGTTTCTGAAATTCTGGGTTCCTTTATATCCCTGTGTCTTTCTTTGGCTTAGAATATAAAATTTACTTGGAGTGTATCCCCAGCCTCCCAACTCTTCCTTGTACTATAGTAGGTATTATAGATCTTCATTATAGCTTTTATGACATTTTAATTATTGGTTTCTGTTTCTGTTTCCCTAACTAGACTGAGTTTATGTCTGTCACATAAGCCAGTTTTTACTAAATGTCTGTTGGGTAAAGGAAGTGGTAAGGATTCTTAGAGGCGGGTTTTGTAAGGTCATTACTCTCTGGGAACGTGTGGTGTTGGTCTTCCGCAGCTTTTGCTTTGATTTGGCATCCTCTTGGGTCCCTTTCTAACAGGTGTAAATCTGAACTTGAAAGAAGCCAACAGGCTGCACAGTCTGCAGATGTCTCTCTGAATCCATGCAACACACCACAAAAAATGTTTGCAGCTCCACTAACACCGAGCCATTATTATAGCGGTAAGGATTTTTCCCTTCATTGTAAATAGTTCTCTTATTGAGATTTCAACCCTGCAAAAAAATAAATTAATTCAACACTGAATTCACTTTCTAATCTGGGCATTAAAAAAATGCAGCTACTTGCTATGACATATGCATTTGTTTATCTGTTCAACTATATTGAGCCATTATGTTAATAAGCCTTTTTACTTAAAAAAAAATTTTTTTTCCCCTTACTTGAGAATGTGCTTTTTATTGATTTTAGAGAGAGGAAGGGAGAGAGAGAGAAACACTGATGTGAGAGAGAAACGTCGGCTGGTTGTCTCCTGTACACCCCCACCAGGGATTGAATCCACAGCTCCGGTATGTGCCCTGAAAGGAAATCAAACCTGCCACCTTTCAGTGTTTAGGACAACGCTCCAACTGAGCCACGCTGGCCAGGGCTTAAAGATTTTTATTTTATTTTTTACTAATGTAGAAATTTCACCAAGTTTTAGAAGTAATTATAATGAAGCTTTAAAAAATTAGCTTGTTTTTATGATAATGCATCCCATCGTTAAAATTTCTTGTAGCCATTTTTAAGGACCTTAAGACTTCAATGTCTTTACTTTTGCCAGCTTCTAAATTTCTGAAGAAACACAGTCAGGTATGCAGACTTGTTGGCTGGCTTACACTTTTCACTTTATTTTTCTATGGTGTGTTTCAAAAGAATTAAGTTTCAGAATTTTCAAAACACCTGTGTTTCCATGGATTTTGATGTTTGAGTAATTTAATCAGTATCTGTTACCGTAACTAAAGTGTTCTTTCTGGTGTACTGAGATACTCATTGCTCAACTACCTGTTGCAATTATTATCGATCTGTGAATTCCTTCATGAAAACAGTGGTCAAAGTAAAACTGTTATCTCCTTGTCTGTGTTTAGGTTCCAAATATGAAGATCTAAAAGAAAAATATAATAAAGAGGTCGAAGAACGAAAAAGATTAGAGGCAGAGGTGAAAGCTCTGCAGGCAAAAGTAAGTTAATTGTGGGCCTTATAAGAGAGTATGCAATTGAAGAATTATTTTGCTATAGGCTAGAACAAGGTTATAGAAATCTGCTTCATGGAGAGCTGGTGCATTTCTCTTACATCGAGAAAATAAAGTTCCTGGCTCATTGGTTGTGATATTTCCTAATTTAAAAATAGGTGAAGAGTGAATAGAGTGGGGAGATTACTGTATCCATAAACATTAAGTGTTCGCTGGATTCCAGGAAACTAGTAATATATTTATTTCCCTATTAAGAGCTAATGATAAGAAACATCTTTGGAAAGGGTAGGACCAGAGTCATTCCTGACACTGGTGTTGTCACCTGGAGGAAATGGCTTCGTATTTCCTTCTTCTGAAGGACTGGTGATTACTGCCAGGGATGTGGGGTTTGAGGATCCTTATTTCCAAAATGTTTATTTCAGAGGAGAATTTTTAATAATCTCCCCAATTCTTTTAAGTAAGTTGCTGACAAGGGTTTTAAACTTCATTTTGATATGTGTAAATGAGCAGAGAGAGGTCGATAAAGAGATTTGCTTAAATATTAAACAAAATTTATGTTTTAGAAACCCCAGCTTCTAGTTTAGGGACTGACTCTGAAAATACTGGTACCTATAGAATTTTCCTTCACCGTTTTTGCTCACAAGATATTATTTCCTTAGAAAAGTCTGTTTTGGCACTTGATAGTGTACTGTATTTCCGCTAACCATAAGAACTTGATAAGATGCCACAGTTTTTCAAACAGTTGAGGTTGAATGCCAAATTTATATGCAGATAACTTAAATATTGAGGATCAAAAGTATGCATTAGGGATTTAACAATTTTAATTTGTGTCTTTCACCCTTGTTTCGGAGTCACCAGGATTTTCATATGTGACAACGGCATTACTTATCAAGATGCATAAAAATTAAACAATTATTCTCTGGTTTGGCCTAGAAATACCATATGCTTCATTATCCAGTTCAGGTATTAGGGGACCAATTCTGCCCCTGACCTTGGTTCCCAGAGTTATTCTGTGGAGGAATGGGCGTGTCCATAAACATTAAACCTCTCCCTGTGGCAAGAAAAGCACTTGCTGTAAAAAAGGAAGTGTAGCATTTACAGCTATGTCTTTATTTGTCAGAGTGGGGGCGGAAAGAAGAAAATAATTCAAAGCATTAGAAAAATCCATAGATGTATTTTATATAACATAAAATACCTTTTTGGGACATTTTTGGGAGAGTGAAGAGTGAGATTCTTGAAAGAGTTCTTTAGGTTAATATTGATTTTAATTCTCTTTGTGCAAAGCTACTATTGCGGGGGGGAAGCAGTGTATGACTAAGGACAGGCAAAAAAAAAATCAAATTTCAGAATTCAAAATTGCAGTGAATACTCATGTGTTTAATGGAGCATTTGAGGGAGGTAGATGAAATGTAAAAACTGAGCCCATGTGGAATAGATTGGGCCTCAGTAGCACTGGTTAACCCTTCAATGCTGAAGTCTGACCATTAGAAAATCTCACTGGGTATCAGGACTCAGTGGTTCCCTTGACTTGATGGATGTTCTTTCTTGGTACCCAGTGGAGATGCTGACCTCTTGCCACGGCTTTATGTTCTATTTGAAAATAAGTAGTCTTGAATATTATGATTTCTACAGGGCTCTAAAGAGTTTCTCTCTTAACAGAAAGTGAGCCCGGCTATTCCACAAAACACCATGAATCACAGGGACATTGCCCGACACCAGGCCTCGTCGTCTGTGTTCTCCTGGCAACAAGACAAGACCCCAAGCCGTCTTTCTTCTAGTGCTCTGCAAACTCCGGTTAGGAGAGATTTCTCTGCATCTTACTTTTCTGGGGAACAGGAAGTGACTCCGAGCAGATCAACTTTACAAGTAGGGAAAAGAGATGCTAATAGCAGCTTCTGTGATAATTCTAGCAATTCTCATCTTCTGGATCAATTAAAAGCCCAGAATCAAGGTAATTTTTTGAGTTGAATCAAGTTTAAATTTTCCTGAGATAATTTTAGAGGCGATTCCAGACATTTTTAGTCTTCGAAAGTGCTTAATGTTTTGTTAGACACATCAGTGGCGAGCTTACCTGTTGGGTGATGTTAAATACTGTCTTTGTGATTAATGAGTAAAGGTACCACAATTTTGGAGCGTACCTTTATTTGTACTAAAAAGCTGGGACGCCAAAGCCTTTAAAAGTAGGATGAATGGCTTTGACTTGTCTTTCCAGAAGTAAGACCAGTGTATTGGTTACAGTTGACACTCCCCACACTTCTTGTCTGGCTCCTTTTGTGCTCCTTGAAACAGGCCTGTGTTCTGGCCAGTGTGGGCCAGAGGTGTGGCATGTGTCTGCAGAACAGCTTTGCTCTGGGCTGCCAGCTTGTCCATATGGGAGCAAACCTGTAACCTTGGCTGCTGTACCATGCTGCAGCTGACAGCCAAGGGTACCAGGTGGTGGTTTGGAATCCACTCTGCAGACTACAATAATTTCCAATGCTATGATATATTGAAAATCACCGTCAGTGTTCACTGGTGAGAGCTGTCACACTGCCAATGCCATTGGAACCAATATTGTGTGTATGTGGGGGTAAAATGAGAAAAAATTATTGTTAATTTTGGCAGTATAGGAGGTTCACACTGTCTTGATCTTTGCTGAAGGTAAAGCTACCCAAGGGTATGGGAGGGTGAATTTTTCACTGCTTATCACTGACTTGCATTGATAAGATCACAAAACAAATACTAGTCTGCCAGTGTGTAAAACCAAGTGGTAATTTAAATAAGGGTGTTATGAGTGATGCACTTTTTGCAGCCTTGATCAGATAATGCTCCCAATTTTAGAAAAGCATTTTCTTCACCAAGTGTTTCTGTGATAACAAGAAAATTTGTTTTTCCTGCTTTCTGTAGGATATTTGAATATAAATAACAATAAAAACTAAACATTGAAATTAAATCCAATTAAAGTTGCTTCTGTGTTTAGTGTGAATTGACTTATATTTGTCTCACTAAAGATTTCAGAGCAGAGTGACATAAATGATATATTCTGAGTTGAGTTGTACATTTTTTGTGAAAAGTATATGTTAATTGAAGTGTGGATTTTGTTTGTGATTTAAGAGCTAAGGAGCAAGATTGCTGAGTTGGAATTACGTCTGCAAGGACAAGAAAAAGAAATGAAAGGCCAAGTAAATAAATGGCAAGAACTACAGCTCCAACTGGAGAAAGCAAAGATGGAATTAAATGAAAAAGAGAAAGCTTTGAATAAAAGTAGGGATGAACTAGTGAGAACGACAGCACAGTATGACCAAGCATCAGCCAAGGTACTTGACTTTCCACGAGTTACTGAAAAACCTCCACTCTATGCAGTTCTTTGGGAATCGTACTTTACACTTAAATTTATAAAATAAATGATGTAATGAACCTTATTAATATATTCTAGGCAATATTGATGTCCTTGAACTGGTAAGTTCTTTTAGAGTTGGGTAGATCAGGGGTCAGTTCTGGACTGCCCGTTTTCCCATCCCAGGGACTTGACGAGTCCTTTATCTCTTATATCCCAGAAGGTGAAGAATAATTATGTATACATAGCACCTGCCATAGTTTCTGGCCCATATAAGAGACTTAAAGTAATGGAGCTTTGAAAGACATTTAGGAATTATGATAGAATGTAATTGATCTACTCTTGGGATTCAGTATCCATTTAATCCTAATGCTCCAATTAAGGCCTGTTATTTGAGGGTGGTTGTTTTTTTTGGTGCGAGTGGGTTGTTGGTTTGGCTCCAACCTCTCTCTCTAGTCTTCTCTTTTTTCTATTATTCATTCATTCACTGACTTATTTGACAAGTATTTATAGACTGCCTACTGTGTCAGGCGCTGTACTAGACCTGGGGATGGAGTTAGACAGAAATCATTGCCCTTGTGGAGCTTCATCCTATTGGGGAATGTAACAACGATGTAGACGTCACAGATAGTATGGTATATGGGGACAAGTGTAGAGAAAAGTGAATGATCTTCTAGGACCACCCGAACTTGTTTGATGTCTCCTGGACCTAATCTTTATGTGGGCCCAGTGTCTTTCTGTTTGGCATACTCTCCTCTTGGAATACCATTGACATGTTCCTCATCCTGTGAGCTTCTTCCCTCATCTCCTAATGCAGTGAGGTCTTTTCTCCTGGTACCCCCCTTGTTTGTGTTTTAGCCGTGGGATTCCCACACTTGGCTGCTTGTCAGAATCACAGAGAACCTTGCAAACTTAATCCTGTTAGGCCTAAGGAATTTACTTTTAATAAACTCTAGAAATTTCTAAGGCAGTAGGTAAAAACCACTGTAGTATATAGACCTATATCTCCAGTTTGCTTCTTGGGGCAGGTTCCTTTCATCTGTCTTTCAAAAAATTAATCATTTTTTATTTTAAGGTAATCGTAGATTTATATGTAGTTCTATGAAATGTTGCCTTGTTAATATGGTTGATTACATTGATTGCTTTTTAAATATTTGGATGAACTTTTAATCTTTGGAATAAACACTAATTGGCATGGTACATAATTCTTTTTATATATTTCTGAATTTTATTTGCTAATAATTTGTTAAAGATTTTTGTGTGTATATTCATGAGGGATATTGGTCAGCTATTTTCTTTTTTTGTACTGTCTTTGATATTTGTATCATAGTTAATATTAGCTTCATAAAATGAACTGGGAAGCATTTCTTTTTCTATTTTTTGAAGAGATTATGTAGAATTCATGGGTTTTTTAAAATACATTTGGTAGAATTCTCCATGAAACCATCTAGACCTGGAGATTCCTTTTTTGAGAGTTTTAAGATTATAAATTCAATTTTAAAAATAGTTATATGACTATTAAAATTATTTCATATTGGATGAGTTGGGATAGTTTGTGTTTTTAGAGGAAATAGTCCATTTCATCTAAATTGTCAAATGTATGTATGTAGAGTTGTTTGTAGTATTTTATTCTTTGAAGTCTGTATGTTAAGTGATATTCTCTGTTTCTGATACTTGTGTCTTTTTTCTCATTGTCAGTCTTGCCAGAGATTTGTCAGTTTTGTTGCTCTTTTATTGATCTTTCCAACAAATCAGCCTTTTGGTTCATTGATTTTATTTTTCTGTTTCAATTTCATTAATTTTTTTGCTCTTTTACTTCCTTCTGCTTGCTTTGGGTTTAATTTGCTCTTTTTCTAGGTTGTTGAGGTGGGGAGCTTAGATTATTGATTTGAGACTTTTCTTCTTTTCTAATGTAGATTTTTAAGCTATAAGTTTCCCTGTCAGTACTGATTTAACTGTGTTCTACAAATTGGGATATATTGTAGTTTAATTTTTATTCAGTTCAATGTATTTAAAATTTTTTTTCCTTTGACCCATGGATTATTTAGAAATATTTTGTTTAGTTTCCAAGTGTTTGGAGATTTTCCTCTTTCTGTTTTCCCTTCACATATTTTGTAGCTTTGTTGTTTGGTGCATATACATTTAGGATTGCTATGTCCTCTTGGTGGATTGACTGTTATTATATAACATCTCTCAGTGTGTCTGGTAATTTTCTGTATTCTGAAGTCCACTTTATCTGATAGTAATATAGCCACTTCAGCTTTTCATTGTTTAATGTTGGCATGGTATATTTCTTTCTGACTTTTTACTATCATCCTTCTATACTATTATTCTTGAAGTGAGCTTTGTGTGGGCAGCATATAGTTGGGTATATTTTTTAATCCACTCTTTTACTGTTTTTAAAGTAGTGTATTTATACTATTTGCATTCAGTAGAATCATTGATAGGCCAGGGCTTAAGTCTGCCACCATATTTTTTGTTTTCTATTTCTTTTCATTTTTCATTGCTGTCTTTTTTCCTGTGGGTTACTTGAACATTTTTGCAATTCCATTATTATTTATCTGTAGCGTTTTTTAATGTACTTTTTTGTAGAACCCTAATAGTGATTTTCTAGATATTACATTATATATACACATGATTTATCACAGCCTATTGGTATTGTCACTTTACCAACTCTAATAAATTACAGAAAATTTACTTCTCTTTTCATCCTTTTATCTTTCCCCACTTATAATTGTGTTTTCTCTACATATGTTTAGAACCATATCAGTGTTATACTTTTTGCTTCAACTGTTAAACAAAGAAAGCTGAAGAAGAGAAGGAATATACCAATATTGTTGCTTCCCTTCCTCCTCTTTCCTGATTCCTTTCAGATTTTCTTCTTTCATGATTTCCTTTTTGCTTAGAGAACTTCCCTTAACCAGTCTTTTAGGCATTGTCTTTGTTTTCCTTTCTCTGAGGATGTCTTGGTTTCCTCCTCATTCCTGGAAGATGCAGCCGCAGGGTATAGGACTCTGGGTTGACAGTTATTTTCTCTCTGCACCATCATGTTTTCCCCTTGGGTCCCCAGTCAGCCTTCTCTCCTTTTAGAGCTTTCTTGTGTCTGTTTTAATATAATATCCAGGTCTTTTAGTTGTTCTCGATGGGAAGAATAGGGAAATGTACTGTCTTCCTGGAAGTGGTAGTTCAGGTTCATTTTTAGATATTCTTCTAGTGCAGTGCTTTGCACAGAGAAATTCTTGATAAATATTGTTAGATGTGTGACGGTAATGTGGAGGGTCAGTGTGACCATGGCCTGCCTGGATCCTTATATGTAGTCTCTTTGTGCAGTCTGAGTTGTTTTTTTAGGTTAGAAAGACTTGGATTTGAGTTCTCGCTCTGCCACATCTCAATTATTGCTTTTGGGGCTATTTAATTAACTTCTGTGCCTCAGTTGCCTAATCAATAAAATGGTGTTAATAAGGCCTGTGTCAGGATTGTTGTAGTTATTGAAGTAGTTTTCATAAAGGCTTTAGCATTGTGCTTGTCACATGTGAACTTATATTAATATTAGTAGTTTTTGTTACATTGAGTTGTCGATTAAGCTCATTTTCAGCTGCATTTCTGCCAGCCTCGGCCTTCCTACATATGAGAATTATACTTACCCTTTCACATTTTGTACTCTTGGTTTTGGTGTGACAAGATCACTGAACCCTTGTTCCATGTTACACATCTGATGAAGTGTTTTCTTACCAGATCATGAATTAAAATATTTGACGAGGACAGTGCTGTGTGCTGAGAACACAGCTCTGGCTTTCTTTCTATTAGTCGTCCCTCCAGGTTCTTAAGACTTGTTTGTTCAGTGCTTTCTGGATTCCATTTTTCCATGACCTGTAATCCACCTAACTGAAAATTCAGTCTGCCTTTCTCTGTCTTGCCTCTAAGGACAATATGACCTTGTCGAACATGTTGCTTAAATCAAATTATGCATTGTTTATGCTCTTCCCTGATCTACTATTAGAACTATGTATTAAATAAAGTGGAGCTAATTAACCAAAATCAATACCATGTTCTTTAGTGAACATATACTGTTTCTAGTATGCTTCTTTTCCAAGTATTTATGAACAGTGGGGGGTACAAAGCTGTTGAACTCATGTAGAAACAGTGTTGGGACTTGCAGCAAACCTGTAGTTCAGCACCCACATTTTACAGATGAAAAACTCAGGCCCAGAGCACTGAGTGCCAGGGTCATGTGCTGCATATTTTCAAGGACTTGAGCTCTGGACACTTTTAGAATATTTATGGCACATTCATGACACCTAGTGGTCAGTGCTCTTACATGGATTGTGCATCATCAGTATCAGAATGCCATTTAAAAAAATTTAAATAAAATACAAATACCTCCTGAAAGCTCCCTGTTAACCTACTGTTTCTAATAAAAAATTGTTGCTTCTGAGATCCTTTAATGGAATGAGTTACAGTTTGAAGGAGGGCCAGCAGAGGGCGCCAAGGGTTCATTCACCTACAATACCTGCCAAGTATGGAGTTTTTTCCCCCTGCTTGTCAACCATCAAAATTTTGGACCGTGTGGGCAATGACTTTTGTCTGAATTGTTCACTGCTGTATCCCCAGTACCTAGCACAGTGCTTGACATAGCGTAGGCTTGCAGTAAGTATTTATTGAATTTATATTTATTATAAATAATTTCCATAATACTTTTTCTTGGGAATTTAACAATTCAGGAACCTTCAGGACAATAACAAAGGTGTCTTAAGGTCCAAGGCAGTAGAGTAATTTGAACCACTGGCTCAATATTTTACCTTTTGAATTTGATATTTTTAAAGTTCTGATTTGAGTCATTACTGACCAGAATTGCTCTTTTCACCTTTGCTTCATTAATAATTGGTGTTTGGTCATCTGACAAAGTTTTTTCTTTCCCTCTGAATTCTCTGTTAAATTTCTAGTATTTTAAATAGTTCTAATGAGATTATGATGAGTCTCAGGAAAATACATTAGCAGAGAGATTTGCCAGATTGGGGCACGTTTCTTTTGGACCGAGGAGCTCTCCCCCCACACATATGTTCTTATTCTTTCCTGGGTTTTCAGAGCTGTCACGTGGGGGCAGTTTAAGGATGTGAACACCATGGGGAAGAGAGAGGGATGGGTTTCAGCCCTTGAAAATTGAAGATCATTTTGTTCCAATTTACTTTTAGAAGAGCATCCTAAATTTTGGTGTAGTCCATGTTTAAAAAATTATTTTAAGGAAAATTTGCTATGTAAGAAGGCAAAAGGTTCTTTGTGTTGCTCATGGCAGCTTGGCTAAACACCAGTTGTGATACTCTCTGGAGAGCTGTGCACCTCCAGACATTTAAAAGGGCATAGTGAGAGCACTGTGGAAAGAAGCATTTTAATATCTGCAGTTGCCTACAAAATCTATTATGCTTGAAACAGACTCCCCTGTGAGAGTGACGGGGACCCTCTGGTTATTTTACAGCCTCTAAATTGCACAAGTCAACATCACTGCATTTTAACCTCAGATCCATGCAGCAAAATGTTAGATGAATCGTTATTTAGACACATCGATTTCTTTTTCATAGTGCAAATTACGAAGTTTTAAGCAGTCTCAGGCTTTACCTCCTTGCTGTTATTTCCCAAACATAAATTTTATGTGTGCTAAAATAATTATAGTGGTTTTGTATATGGCTAATAGTTTTAAACCCCACTTTTTATGAAATAAAAATGTCAAAACACAATGGTAAACTTGAACCAGAGCTTGGGACTAATGTTTCTAAAGTTCAAAATATTCTTTCTTTAAATACTTTTGTATTGCACATTTTTTGTTGTTGTTAGTGTACTGCATTGGAACAAAAACTGAAAAAATTGACTGAAGATTTGAGTTGTCAGCGACAAAATGCAGAAAGTGCCAGATGTTCTGTGGAACAGAAACTCAAGGAAAAAGAGAAGGAGTTTCAAGAGGTAAGGTGAATAGATTCATTCGGAGTTTGTCCGGATGTCACAGTTTCATCCTGGGAAAAGAGGCATTTATCATCATTTGGGATGTTCTACTAGGAAAATGCTCTGGGAGGAAAAGGTTGCTATATTTTCCTTCATACTTTGCAATCTTTCAGTTTTTGATCAGAGAACAAGCTCAGTAGTCAGAATGTTCTTTTTTATCCATGTTTTCTGATTTGTTTGAGATTATTATTCCCTGGGTAGGACAGGGTCATATTTCTCCTTTCAAACACTCTCTGTTGTGAAGGAAATTGTGTTACAGTTTCTGGCTGTCTTTAAAGCCTGTGGGTTGGCAAATACATTAGAACAGTAGTTGATGAAGTGGAGAAAGACGCTGGCAGCCAAGTCAGGGCTAAGGATGCCCTCCGTAAGTATAGCTGCCAGTGTGAGGTGGTTCAGCTGGAAAGTGTGTCATACAGATCGAGGGTCCACTGACTTCCAGTAAGAGTGGCTGCAGATCGGAGCTCGTCCTGGTCAGACACAGCCTGACATATTTGTTAAACTGTTATTGCTTTATTTTTTATCTTACCGGGACTACTTGTAAACAATGGGCAAGATGTAGACAATTACCCAGAAGGAAGTAATTCCACCTCCTGGGGGAATTGTAACCATTTGTGCATTTAAATATATTTTTTAATTTAATTTTTTAATTCCAGTCGACATATAGTATTCTATTAGTTTCAGGTGCACAGCATAGTGGTAAGACATTTATAAAACTTACAAAGTGATGCCCCAATAAAATAAGTATTTAAATATTGTATCTGTTATTTCTTGACCAAATAAGATATCAGGTGCTTTGATAGTTCCTGAGTGAACAGGGTGACTAAGACCATGGGTTTTATAGTCTAGAATAGTGGTTTTCAGCCAGGGGTGATTTCCCCCCCCCAGGGGATATTAGCAATATCTGGGGATATTTTTTATTGTCACAACTAGGGTAGAGGAGTGGGGGGGCAGCTACCAGCATTTAGTGGCTAGGGGTCGGGGCTGCTGGTAAACATTACAGTATGGTACAGTCCCTTAGATAAAGCATTGTCCCCAGCCCAGAATATGAGTAGTGCCAAGGCTGGCAATCCCTGGTACAACAGTAGGGTGATAGAGACCTCCCCCTCAAAAACAAACAAACAAACAAACAAAAAAACATACAAAGGACACATACATTAAAAAAAAAAAGAACTGCAAATGTTACTCTCCTTATGTGGTTTTCCAAGTTCATTGGTGACATATACTTTGTGTCATTCTCAATTGTAAGTGGTGTATGGTATTTGAAATTTTAAGCCCCATTTTTGAGCTCGTTTGATTTCTCAGCTGAATTGGGATGGTTGCAGCTCAGCTCTACTCTCTTTTGCCCCTGGCTACTTCAAAACAGAGATGATTGACTTAAGAGTGGGCATGAGGCAGAAAGAGGCGAGCTTCCATGTGGTCGACTGGCGGGCTCCTTCCCTGGCCCTCGGAGACCTGGATTTGATTATGGGGACCAGTGCTCCAGCTCACATTGATCATCAGGTGGATGGTCTGCTAGGCTCCCTGTTGTCTCCAGCTCTGTTATTGCTTTTCCTGTGGGATGTGTGTCACCCTTGGATCCGCCTGGGTACCACTGTTAGTGCGATGCATGTGTCTTTTGCTTTTTAGGAGTTGTCCCGTCAACAGCGCTCCTTCCAAACACTGGACCAAGAGTGCGCTCAGATGAAAGCCAAACTCACGCAGGAGCTGCAACAGGCCAAGAACGCCCACAATATTCTGCAGGCCGAGCTGGATAAAGTAGGCGCTGCTTCCTCTCTCCCTGTTCCTTGTACCTGTTATTTCTGTACTGCAGCTGACAGGATACTTTGAAGGGAAAAATGCTCTGTCCTCACTTTACTTTCTTTTCAAGCAGGAGAGCAAATGGAACCTGTCTGGGTCCGGGTTCTCTCATTTAGAGAAGACGACAGTGAATGAGTGAATGACTGAGGTTCTCAGATCTGAAAGTCTGTAGCACAATAATATTCTGGTTCTTGGTCATGTCACCAGGAGGGAGCTGTCCCAAGCACTGAAAATTATCATCAATTTACTTACCACTCACTTCAAAAATGATGTTGTCCAGTTTTGTGGCTTTACGTTTCATCTGCATGGTGGTCGCTCCCATAATTATGTCTCCATCCTCGACATCTGTTCTGAACTTGAGTCTGTTAATGTGCTGGTCAGATCACGTCACTCTGCTCAGAACTCTGCAGTCACCCCCGTCTGTCTCAGAGTGAGGGTCTCAACCAACATAGATGGCATCAGTTCTTTTATTCCATGACATTTTTATTATTGAAGAAGAAATGATTATTGAAACCATAAACAACAGAAAACTGAACCTTGGCCTTATTTTCTCTTTGTAGGTCACATCAGTAAAGAACCAGCTAGAGAAAAGATTGGAAGAATTTAAGCAAAATGCCTGCCGAACCGAACAGGCATTGCAGGCGAGTCAGAGCAAGGAAACTGAGCTGAAGAGGAGCCTCGAGGTGAGAGAGGAGCATAGACGAGTGTTTGTCAACCTTTGTTCAGGATGCAGAGGAGGGGTAAAGGGAATTGTTCCACTGCTTTTCAGTGGCTTATGACGACCATGGCATTTTCTCTTTTATTTGTCAGAAGTAGGTATGACAAAATATCTTGTATATAACCTATGACATAGAACATAGTGCTTTTCTTCACTTTCTATTCTGATATAATTATAATTATATAATATGTAGGTAGCAATTATAGGAAAATGACCTTTATTAAGAACACATGCTACTACTTTTTTTGAAAGATTGTTTGAGACCATCTGGGAGGTGGAAGAATGGAAGAAAACCAGGGATTTTCTAAATGGAAAGAAACAAAATTGGTGAAGGGGGTATAATTTAAATCCCTTTTCCAAGGGTTGGCTTTTGAATCGTCAAATATTAAAAACCTGGTGGAAAGTTAGTGACTTAAGTGAGCAAAGTAATGACATGAAGAAATGAAGAGTTTTTAGATTTCAGGTTCTTGTGAAAACATTGAGTAGTTGTAAATTATGTTACTGATGCTTCAGAAGTCAGCATTGGCCTCAGTGTCAAGCATGGCTGACGGGGCCTTTGTAGATTCGTGTCTTTCTACTCTCGTGTCTTTCTACTCAGTGCTGGGTGATATCCCCAGTGGTGTGGGTATCGGACTGCCCAGATGTTGCTTCTGCCGATAGGGTTTTATCCATACTTACTTTAACTTGGCTCCTCTCGGAACTTATTTAGTGGCCTGGAGTTTATTTTAAAGGGCTTAATTCAGAGCCATTTAGGGGAGAACTCAATAGACTGAAACAATTTGAGTAGCGCCATATGTCAGCGTTTCAATATTATGAAGGAGCGCAGCAGAACAGTAGAAGTTTCTTCCCCATCCAATGTCACAGGAGAGACTTTTTCCCACTTGTTTAAATGTTCTGCAGTCACTTTCTAGGCTGTGAAGGTTCTTTTTCCAACATTCTCTATAAAGAACCGTTATTTATGCAGGTGGGGAGAGTCAAAGTGTATTTATCCCCCAGCTTTGAAGAGTGTAATGTGACTGTAAAATCCGAACATCTGTCAGTAGCAAAGAAGCAGCACAGCCAGCCTCAGGGGTAACACAGCTGGAGACGGGAGTCCGCATCTCTAGCCACCGGCGTGGAAGACAACTTCTTATCTGACGATGGTTTCAACAGCGAATGATTTCAAACGGAAGTGTTTTGTTTCAGCAAAACAAATGTTTGCCTTTTGGCCAGTGGGGACCAACCAACAGATGCTTCTGCTAACATTTCCACAGGCAGACTGGCACCGAGCTCTTCCCTCTGTGAGCTTCCCTTTCAGCCAGGAACTCTCCCGCGACGCCCCTGGCTGCCTGGTGGAAGCATTTTGTAAAAGCAGTCATCTGGTTAAGAGGGTTCAAACACTTTTAAAACAGTCTGCTTGGCCCGGGCACAGTGGTGGGCTAGGCATTGTCTTGCAGGTGTTTCCGGAAGACTTGTGTGACCCCCCCAGGGTCTGGTGTGTCAGCTGTGGATCTGTCCATGGTGAACTCGAATATACTGAGTTAAATGCCCCCGTGTTGCACTAATATTTCATTGATGTCTGTGTCCAGTGAGCGTAGTCATGTGCAAGGGCCTAGCACAGGACCAGGGAATTCATTTAGTATCTCTCTTAATTTGTGTGTGTGTTTATGTGTGAGTGTGTGTTTTCTTTTGAAGAAGATATTAAGAACTCAAAGGGTTTAGCTGGCTCTTGCATTTTGAGTTGGGATTGGATCAGAAAAGTGAGTTAGCAGTTAGAGTGGTGATATAACTTAATGGTATAATGGTGGCTTTAGACCGAGCGAGAGCTGAAATTGCATTGCTTTTCTGCCACCTACCTACTGGGTGACCTTGGGACAAGGACTTTCCATTTCTGAGTCTGATTTTCCTCATCTACATAATATAGGGACAAATAAGACGCCTCCCTTTTAAAAGCTGTATCAATGATTAAAATAAATCCTGCCAGCACATAAGTGCTCAGTAGATGATTAAAGTCCACCTGCTCATTGCTGTGGTCTTCACAACTGTTATGACCTGTTTGCTGTCACCCATAGGTACAGAAAGCGATGAGCCAGGGGACATTGCATTTGAGATTTTACACATTTAAAATTTTCCTGTTCTGGTCTATCACTGTGGTCTCTTTCTGTGTCTAATTATAAGTAAGTACAAACAAGTTTAGCGCGCTGATAGGTTTTGGATGCCGAAATAATGTGACAGTTGTACCGAAATTTTCCTTGCTCGTGTTTAGCAAACTAATATGCCACTCACAAAGAGAAATTATCAGTAGTGGAAATGAGATTTAATGGGCCAATCAAGGGTAAAGTTAACATTTAGTATCAAAGTGAATGGAGGGTTTAGATAAACTGCTCATCCAGCATCAGCTGCCAGCCCCATAGCATTGGGGTTAGGTCATCATGTACCATCATTTGACAGCCAAGATGGGGGGAACACTTGCTTAGGGACCTTCCCGAGTGCGGGGATCTGTGTTACACCAGATCCTCTAAGGGGCTTGGCCTGGCAGGCAGGATTGATGAGGTGGAAGGGAAAAAAAGCATTCTTTGCATCCATCCCTTGTTCACGATATAGACTTCGCCCCAGCAGGGGACGTATTAAGCTTCATTCATGGATGGGATCATGAAATAGCACACAGTAACTGAAATTTGTTTTGTCTGGCCCTAGGAAAGGATGCCTCCCTCGCTGCTCCTAAACCAGAGTTGATCTGGGTGGAATAGCTTGCTAAGCTCAGATGCTGGCTTGCGGTTATAGGGATTTTTGTTGCTTTTTTCCAGACTTGTGCCCAGTTTTGCAGATCATGTCAGGATGCAGGAGATGCCTAGGAGAATGTATACTTGTATGCTTAACTCATCGTTGATAATGAGCTACCCAATCAAGTCTTAAGTGGCTGTAGCCTCACAGAAAACTAATTGCAGATGGATAGCAGCCTACAGCTCCATTTTCCGATGCTCATTTTCTAAATTCTGGCCTTTTAAAAATCCTTGGGTTGGTTGTAGCTGTAGCATTAGAAGCCTGCTGGGTCCCAGGATTGGCTGAACATTTCTTCGTTAGAAACAAATATTTACAGAGCTAATGCCAGAATAGGGAAAGACATGTTAATCTTTCCATTTGACTTATTATTTATGTAAATGTCTCCAGTTGTGGACAGAGGTGGTGGAGACCAGCAGGCACATAAACATAAGTTGCCCCCTTCCCTCTCTGGGGTGCACCCAGCTTTGTACATGGTGTCTTCTCAGCTTTCTTGTCACCTTCAGATGTAGATGCCATTTGATTTGATTGATTTTTTAGGGCAAGAAAATATTTTATAGGCTGCAAAGTAAACATACTAAGTCAACCCAGGTGGCTAAATTCCAATTCCTGTCTGATGTTGAACTCATTCAGCTGATCTTAGCACTGATCATGCAGATCTGGCTGCTGTTAGGTTTTTGGGAAGAAATACTAATAATGCCCCATTACACTTGTTAAAGTGCTTTAAGATATTTCTCCTTTCACATCTGTGATCTCACTTGATGGTAATTATCCTGTGCTTGAAGAACAAACAGACGATTATAGTGTCTATAGTTTATTGATGTTAGTTTAAGTCAATAACATCATTACTTTACAAAAAAGTGTTTTTATTGATTTTAGAGAGGTGCAGAGAGATAGAAACAACGATGGAATGAGAGAGAGAAACATTGATCGGCTGCCTCCTTCATGCCCCACTACTGGGGATCCAGCCTGCAGCCTGGGCATGTGCTCTGACCCGGAATAGAACCGGCAGCCTCTCAGTGCATGGGATGATACTCAATCGACTGAGCTACACTGGCCAGGGCGCACCATTGCATCTTGATCCTTAATGATCTTTCTTTGTGGACTTAACACTGCCCAGTATGAATGTCAGCCTAGTCTTGAGATCAGATGGAGCAGCCCTTTAGTTCTGATTGATGTCTTAATTTACCAGCAAGGAAGGGAGGCAGGATGAGCACAAAGACAGGAGTTTAAATTACAATGGGGTCTGTCTTATCTTGATGATGAAATGAGCATATATACAGGAACACAGCAGCTGCCAGCAAGTTTTCAAGTCCTTTATCCTAGCCAGATTCCCCCTCTTCTTGAATTTGGCTTTGCTACCTCGGTACCCATCTGCTGGTAGTAACCAGACTGATAATTGAAGGCAGCTTTCCAACACAGCACTGCCAGGGCCATCTGTTTTCTAACGGTGCAGTAGTGTTTTGGAGGCTGGGTCTTAATTGTTTCTTTAAGATTTGGAATTTCCCCGTTTCTCAGAGGGGTATTTAAGTGTGTTTTTTAAAAAGTTAGCCATATGAATTTTCCCCCCCCAAGGATGCGAGGCCCTTAGTTCTGTCAGTATATGCCAATTCTCTGTGGTCCAGAGAGTGGCATATCATATAGGTTGAGATACTTTTGAGCTATAAAAGCATCGAAGGTTGGAAAATAGGTTGAGAAAATAGAGGATTTATGATGTTGTATGTCTTATGTTTATTGTGTGTCTTAAAAACATATTTAAAGGGAATAGCACTTTTATTTAGCATGCAAATATTGCTTGGTTTTAAGAGCCAAAAAATATACATGTCTTCCTAGATGATATAATGGGGATACCTGTGTCTCTGCTACTTTATTTACATTTTGGTACATGGGTACTTCATTTAATCAGGTTCCCAAAGAATCTGTTTCACTGTGAAAATTCAGCTTCCTCCATCTAGAATGAATTCTTCCTTCTGTGCTCCAGCCTGATTTCCCATAGCACCCTCTACCTCTCTTTAGTAGTTAGCACATCCCCATGAGTGTCAAGTGTTTGGTATCACATCTTCCCCCACTGGGTTACTTGCTGTAAGGGTAGAGACTCTGTCTTACTTACATTTACATCTTTTATAATGCCCATTCTAGCATGTGGCCCCTTTAGATTTTTTTGATAAAAGTATCAAAGATAATTTACTCATAAAGACATCCCTGTAACAGTGAACCTTAAGATGGCTTAACAGTGTAAAGTAAAAATTTGTCATGTGAATTTTTTTTTAGCACATTAGATCTTTGCAAAGATATATTTGATCATTCAGGTATGATAGGAACTTTCAGCTTGTGTCTTTGAGGATCTTTTAAGTAGGATTTTCCTGAGGAGCTAACTCTTTAACAAGTTTAGGGACAAACTAGAAAGCTCAAAGAAATATATTTCTCAAAGGAAAAGGATTATCATCAGATTTGGGTTTTGTGCGTTAGTTTTAACTTCTGTTCATAAACTCATTTGGTTTAAGCAAAAATGTCTGACTTTATTTATTACTCAGAGGGAAAGTGTGATTCCTCCCCCTAGTGAGATACATAGTCACTTCCATTAGGCCCTTTACTAAGGCAGAAGTCGTAGTTTGCCCGAGCTTTTGTTTGATTATAACCAAGTAAATGTGCACTTTAGGAAACGAAGAAGGAAAACAGCTTCCTTAAGAGCCAGTCAGAGCAAAGCGCCAGAGAAGTCTGCCACCTGCAGGAGGAACTGAAGAAGACCAAGCAGTGTCTGAGTCAGAGCCAGAATTTTGCAGAAGAAATGCGGGGTAAGTAAAACTGGGTGTTTTAGGGTCATTTCTCTAAGCTAATGTTCCTGCGAGGGAGGATGGATGGCATTAGAAATGGAATTTTTCCGTATATTCTCGAAGGACATCTGCGTTGGATGCGGAGAATGTTTTCTCCCTCCCACTTCTTAGTTTCCAGAGTGATAGCTGGAAATTTTTTAATGGAACACATCGAGTCCCCAAATGCCTGTTTTTTCAGCACTCTGAGACCAGAGGGGTCAATATTTTCCACACAAAAGTAAATTGTCAGTGCTGCCTGTCGCCCCAGAGTGCTATTGATGGTCTCAAGTGTGTTTGTTAGTTACATTCAGACAGCTCATCTCCTCTCTCATTACTATTTCCCTTATCATGGAAAATCTCTGTATGAAGTGCATGTTGTCCTAGCCCTTAATGACCATTGGTTTTTGATGATTTACTTGACTGAATGGTTTTATTTTCTTACTTTATAGCTACAGAATTATGCTTACACATCAAATGAATCCACCATTAGTTTCCTTTTTATCTGTGTACCATATGTCTTCTACTTACATTTATTCTGGGGTATTTGCACATCTAGGATTTCTTTTAACTTGGTCTGTGGATTATGTCACATTTGTCTGCGACTGTTTTCTTTTTTAAATTCTCTTTCCAAGACAGCTTTCAATTTTTCCATAGCAGTAGGTAGAAATGTCAGTCTTTCTTGAAAGAAAACTATGGGAAAAGTGAAGGGTTGGGGGTTTTCCAGTGTTGGTCACCAGGGTCATTGTCTCAGGTCCTCACGAACAGAGATGATTAATAGCCCTTGTGGCCGACTGACAGCCATCACTCAGTAGGTAGGCTGAGAGTAGCAGGTTAAAAATTGGATCTGTTTTCCACTTATTGAAATGTCTGAATTTGGAATACATGCTGCTTTTATCACCTACTATGGAGATTCTCAACTTATATTCTCGCACATTGGACTCGGGGAATATGAAGCCTTCCCATCACTGTTGAATAAAAGCAGTGAGGTTATTCTCAACAGGATGGGACCAGTGGCAAGAGGTGTGTTTTGGGGCAGAAAACAGGGTTGTAATGGAGTTTGAAAAAGCTTCCAGATGATTCTTGAATTCATAGACATCACCCTTATTATGAGGGGCTGGGATATGAGTGACATTGCTCCTCAATAATACTCATATATAGGCCTCAAGAGTTACTGGTTATAGGACATTTTACTCTTTTGTACTTAATCCTATGGATTTTGGCTAAAATGGTAGAGTTGTTACTTATTTTTCTGGGAAATCAGAATTACTCTATAGTGAAGTGGACATTTCCATTTCAGTTCTACTTTTGTCACAGTTTTCGTTCTTTCAGTAAGTATTTCAAAAGAGATGAAAGATACAGGCATACCTTGGAGATATGGTGGGTTTGATGGCATCCACTGCAAAAAACGAGTATCACAGTAAAGTGAGTCGTGATCTCTTTGCTGGTGGAGGGTCTTGCCTTCAGTTTCTAAAACATGCAACATCTTTGAGGCACAATAAAGAGAGTATTCCCATACACACACACATAAACACATACAAAGAAAAAGAAGGAAAAAAAGTTTCAAGTGCTTAGGAAAATAATCTCTTGGTATTTTATACAACAACATTTTATTAAGCTATTAGAAAGAAGCTGAACAAATGTATTACCATCCCTAAAAGGACCTTGTCTCTCATTGTCTTCATATAAGCTTAGGTGATTGTCAGGTTATCTACTTTGCAGGAGGTACTGGGCAATAAAGCCAGTTTTTATAGAGATGAGAAGTTGTTGGTTTGTTTGGATTTTTTTTTTTTTTCAGTTTCAAATTCTTATAAAATAAATACCAAAAACATTGACAGGGCTTTTTATATTTTATTTTTAATAGCTAAGAATACTTCTCAGGAATCCATGTTAAAAGATCTTCAAGAAAAAATAAATCAGCAAGAGAATTCCTTGACTTTAGAGAAACTGAAGCTTGTCTTGGCTGACCTGGAAAAGCAGCGTGACTGTTCTCAAGACCTTTTGAAGAAAAGGGAACATCACATTGAACAACTGAGTGAAAAGTTAAGCAAAACAGAGAGAGAGTCTGAAGCTTTATTGAGTGCTTTGGAGATAAAAAAGAAAGAATTTGAACAATTGAAAGAAGAGAAAACTCTGTTTTCTCGTTGGAAAAGTGAAAATGAACAACTTATAAAGCAGATGGAATCAGAAACGGAGAGCTTGCAGAGTAAAATTAATCAATTGGAAACTTGTCTTAAGACACAAAAAATAAAAAGCAATGAATACAACGAAAGAGTATGCACATTGGAGATGGAAAGAGAAAACCTAAACGTCGAGGTGAGAAACCTTCACAATGTGATTGATAGCAGGACTGCGGAGGTAGAGGCACAGAAACAAGCTTACACAGAGCTACAGCAGAAAGCTGAGTTCTCAGATCAGAAACATAAGAAGGAAATGGAAAATATGTGTTTGAAAGTTTCTGAGCTTACTGGGCAAGTTGAAGATCTAAAGCACAAGCTTCAATTACTATCAAGTGAAATAGTGGACAGAGACCGACGTTACCAAGACTTGCAAGCAGAATATGAGAGCCTCAGGGATCTGCTGAAATCCAGTGATTCTTTGGTGGCAAATGAGGCTCATCCCAGAAGCCTTTTGGCTCTTGAGCAGCAGTCTGCAGTGAATAATTCCTTTGCAAATGTTCTTGGGGAACAAGGAAACATGCCTTCAGAAAGGAGTGACGGCCATGTAGAAGCAGGCCAAAGTCCAAAAAATTCAGCCATCTTACAAAATAGAGTCGTTTCTCTTGAGTTTTCATTGGAGTCTCAAAAGCAGATGAACTCAGATCTGCAAAAGCAGTGTGAAGAGTTGGCACAAATCCGAGGAGAAATAGAAGAAAACCTCGTCAAAGCAGAACAGATGCATCAAAGTTTTGTGGCAGAAACAAGCCAACGCATTAGCAAGTTACAGGAAGACACTTCTGTTCATCAGAATGTTGTTGCAGAAACTTTAGTTGCCTTGGAGAGCAAGGACAAAGAGTTGCAGCTTTTGAATGAAAGATTAGAAAGTGAGCAAGCAGAGATTCAGGAATTAAAAAAGAGCAACCACTTGCTTCAGGAATCTCTAAAGGAGCTACAACTTTTGTCCGAAACTCTGAGCTCGGAGAAAAAGGAAATGAGTTCCATCCTTTCTCTAAATAAAAAGGAAATTGAAGAGCTGACCCAAGAGAATGGGACTCTCAAGGAACTTCACGCAACCTTAAATCAAGAGAAGATGGATTTACTCCAAAAAAGTGAGAATTTTTCACAGTGTTTAGTTGAAAGGGAAAAAAGCATTTCAGAGTTAACTAATCAGTACGAGCAAGACAGACTTATTTTACTACAGAGATGTGAAGATACAGGAAATGCATTTGAGGATCTTAGCGAGAAGTACAAAGCAGCTCAAGAAACAAACTCCAAATTAGAAAGCATGCTAAATGAATTCACTAGTGTTAGTGAAGACAGAAAAAATGATTTGGAACAGCTAAAGGAAACATTTGCAAGGGAACACCAAGCATTTGTAGCAAAATTAGCTTTAGCCGAAGAAAGAAACCAGAATCTAATACAAGAGTTGGGGTCATTGCAAGGAGATCTGAGAGCTGAGATCACAGAGATTCAAAGCAATTCCAAGAGAGAGGCTGATGGTTTAAAGCAAGAGATTGTGGCCTTAAAAGAAGAACGCGGCAAAATGCAAAAGGAAATGAACGCCTTATTACAAGAGACTGAGCAGCTGAGGAAGTTAATGAAGACGAAATGTGAGCATCAGAATCCAGAATCGGACCCAATTAGTGACTCTGTGCCAGAAAGAGACAATAAGATGCATAAATGTCATGTTCAGCTGCCGATGGAGCTTGAAGTTAAAGAAACTCTTCTAGACAATTATGATGCACAGTTGGAACAATTAGAAGCTAAGATAAGACACATGGAAGTACAACTTGAGGAAAGTGAGAAGGAGAAGAAGCACCTACAGCACGAATTGCAGACAATTCAAAGAGAATTTGGATCTGGAAATTTGCAGCAAGACACTCAGTCACAGGAGATCAGTGGCCTTAAAGACCACGAAGTAGATACAGAAGAAAATTATATGTCCATGCTCCATGAGTTGTCAACAAGTCAAAACAACAGCTCGCATCTACAGTGCTCTGTAGAAACGGCCATGAACAAGCTGAATGAGCTCGAGACCATGTGTGAAATGCTGCGCGGTAAAAAGTTTGGATCAGTATCTGAGCTGAGTGACTCAAGATCAGAATGTATCACAGCAACTAGGCAAGTGGCAGAAGACGTTGAGAACCTAGTCAGTGAAGTTAAAATACTAAATGATGAAAATGGTCATTGCCAAGGTGACTTAGTGGAGGAAATGCCAGAAGGTGAGCTTGGCGAACAACAAAATGCAGAGACGTCGGTGTCCTTAAATCCTTTGGACCACAGTCACATCTATGAACACTTGACATTGTTGAACAAAGAAGTTCAAATGCACCTTGCTGAATTGCAGGAGAAATTGTCATCTTTACAAAACGAACACAAAATTTTACACGATCAGCACAGCCAAATGAGCTCTAAGATGTCAGAGCTACAGTCCTATGTTGACACATTAAAGGCCGAGAATTCGGTCTTGTCAATGAGTTTGAGAAGCTCTCAAGGTGACTTGGTGAAGGAGGGGAAGATGGAACCCGGGGAGGTGCATTCACTGTCACTGTCATTCTCTTGTGTGGCTGACATCCCTAGTCTTACAAGTCTGGGAGAATTGTCATTTTGCAAAGATCTTCTGGAACAGACAGGGGAAATATCCCTTTTGAATAATTTAGAAGGGAGTGTTTCTACAAACCAGTCTAACCTAGAGGAGGTATCTTACAGCAGTCTGCAGGAGGAGGATCTGCCCCAGAAAGCAGTCCCATCCACCCCAGGGAAGAGTGTTGAAGAACTTGAGATCCTCTGCCAGATATACCTGCAGTCCCTCAAAAAGCTAGAAGAGAAAATTGAAAATCAAGAGATCATGAAAAAGAAGGAAATTGAAGAGCTTGAACAGTTACTAAGTTCTGAAAGGGAAGAGCTTGACTGCCTTAGGAAGCAGCATTTGTCAGAAAATGAACAGTGGCAACAGAAGCTGGCAAGCGTGACGGTGGAGATGGAGTCCAAGTTGGCGGCAGAAAAGAAACAGACGGAACACCTGTCACTGGAACTCGAGGTAGCACGACTCCAGCTACAAGGCCTGGACTTGAGTACTCGGTCTTTGCTCGTCACTGACCTTGAAGATGTGAGTACATGGGTTTACATGCTGTTTCTCTAATTATATGTCCAGTACTCAATAAATGTTTGTTGAATTGAAATCAATATTGAACCTAACTTAAAATATTTTTAGAGTTCAGAGGCATAAGAAAATATCCCAAAGTTCTTAAAGAAAACAAATCAGAACTTTAGCAACATGAGTAAACCTTGGGGAGCTAAATTTCTACAGTTATTACATTTAAACACTATTATATGGGAAATTACGATGTTTTTTATATTCTCCTGGAGAAAATTACATTATGAAGTCAGAATGGTGTCTTCAGGATGTCTGTGTTGTAGGTTTTCATTCTTTGTGTGTTAATAAAGCACACTTGTATATTATATTAGAGCTTAGGAATGGTAATGAGATATGAATTTTAGTGTTTCTTGCACTTTCAGGCTATTTTTAACATTATAGAGTTACAGTCAGTGAAACTAATATGAGTATATTACATATTACCGGACCATTTTCTAACAGTTTGCTATGATACAAATCTATGATTTGGTATTAGTCATTTAAAACGGCATTTCTTTCTTTACTGAGTACAAAAATGCTTAGTTACTTACAGCTTTGTCCTTCTAGTCTGCCACCTAAACTAATAATGCTGTACAGTTGATGAGTGTCACTTTGTTCCCTCTGTCTGCCTCTGTAAGATAGGAAAGACAGGTGGTGAGGAGGCAGCAGGGGTAGTCACAGCAGCTGATCCCCATTTTACAGATGAGAGGAAGGTGATGTCCAGAACATGTGATTTATCTAAGAATATAGATAGTAAGTGCAGGCTCTGTGCTTCAGTCCTTGGGCTGGCAATCTGGTCAGGAACCTTACTGCCTTCTCTTATTGAAGACTATCAGAAGTGCTGAAGATGGAAGCTGAGTGTTTCATGTGGAATTGATTAGCCTCTTGTTTGATCATCATAGAGAAATTTTATATTTAGGCTACCTTCACTATTCCTAGCCAGAAAAACTATGAACTACAAGTATGTCAGTGTAGATGATCACATAACTGGAGAGTTTGCCTTCATTGTAAGTACCTTACCCGGTGCCTTGCCTAGAGAGAATACTTACTGAATGTTTGTTTAATTGTGTTGAATATTTGGGTGGAGAGAAGAGAATGTATGAAATATGTCACTTGAAGAGACATATTTAGCAGAGGCAAGAAACCACTTTCCATAAAGTAGCAATGAAGCCAATTTATTCTATTATGATGATTCCTGAAACAAGTAATGCATTCTCGTTATCTTTTACAACTCAGGCTATTCAGGGTGGAAACGATAGCTGTGACACAAAAGAATCAGAAGAATGTACTTCGGAAACTAAAGAGAGAACAGCAAAGCAGGACGTTCATCTGATTTGTGAAAAAGATGTTCAGCAGGACCTCAGTGTAGAGGTGGAGAAAGTCACCAAGACCGTGGCAGTTCTGCAGGCAGGAGAAAGTCCTCAGGAGCTGTCTCCAGAAACCAATTCTGATTCCCCACTGGAAGACAAAACCCAGGACTTTCCAGAATGCATTTCTGAGTTGTCACTTTCTGGTTCTAATGCTTTGGTACCTATGGATTTTCTAGAGACTCAGGTAACCACTCAGAATCTCCAGCTGCAGGTAAAAGAGACATCAAATGAGAATTTGCGATTACTTCATGTCATAGAGGAACGTGACAAAAATGTTGAAATTTTGTTAAGTGAAATAAAAGAGTTAAATTCAAAACTCAACTTACAGGAAGTGCAACTAACTACCAAGATTGAAACATGCAGAGAACTGAGGAAAACAGTTGAAGAACTTAAGAAAGAAAAGTCAGATTTAATGGAAAAATTGAAAATCCTTTCTTGTGATAACCCAGAGTTCCACCAGAGAGTAGAAAGTTCAGGAGGCCTCAGCTCTAGTTTAGAAATGGGCACAGCTAAATTGTCCCATGAAGTTACTGAAGATCGTGTAACCAAGGTGGCTGACCCCTGGAGAGAGAGATTCCTCGACGTGGAAAACGAGCTGCAGAGGATCAAGTCTGACTTAGAGAGAGTTCAGGCAGGGAAGCTGCGTTTAGAAAAAGACAGTGAAAACAAGCAGCGAGTTATCAGCTGTCTTGAGGAAGAGCTCTCTGTGGTCACAAGTGAGAGAAACCGGCTTCATGGAGAATTAGATGCTTTGTCAAAAGACAACAACGAGTTGGACTTGATGTCTGAAAAGATGAAGGAGAAACTTCACGAGCTGGAGCCTCAGCGGGAGTGCCTACAGCACGTTGATGTGGTGGAAGCCGAGCTGAAGGCCAGGACGGAGCTCCTTCAGACTTTGTCCTCAGATCACGCCCGTCTCCAGGAGCAGCTGCAGCGCTTGGGAGAGGACTCACAGGCATTGTCTTTAGAAAAAAGTAAGCTGGAAAACCAAATCGGACAATTGAATAACGAGAAGGAATCGCTTGTAAGGGAATCGGAGAGCCTGCAGACCAAGTTGTGTGAACTGGAGCAGGAAAAGCTGACTGTTGCTAAGGCCTTGGAGGCTGCAGTAATGGAAAAAGGCGAGGTCGCCATGAGGCTGTGCTCAACCCAGGACGAGGTGCAGCAACTGAGAAGTGGCATTGAGAAACTGAGGGTCCGCATCGAGGCCGACGAAAAGAGGCAGCTCCATGTCCTAGAGAAGCTGAAAGAAAGTGAGCGCAAGAATGATTCCCTTCAGGATAAAGTTGAGAACCTTGAAAGAGAATTGCAGATGGCAGAGGAAAACCAAGAGACAGTTATTCTTGATGCTGAGAATTCCAAAGCAGAGGTGGAGACCCTGAAAACACAAATAGAATTGACCACCGAACACCTGAAAGCTTTGGAATTAGACCTCATCATGATAAGGTCCGAAAAAGAAAATCTGACCAAGCAGCTGCAAGAAAAACAAGGTCAAGTGTCTGAGTTAGATGCACTACTCTCTTCCTTTAAAACTGTATTGCAAGAAAAGGAGCAGGAAAAAATACAGATGAAAGAAGAATCCAAAGCTGCAGTGGAATTGCTTCAAGCAGAATTGAAAGAGCTGAGCGAGGAGGTGGCAGCCTTGTGTGATGACCAAGAAACCGGGACGGTCAGAGAACAGAGCCTGGGCTCCCCAGGGCAGGGCGTGCACCAGCTGAGAAAGAGCATCGAAAAGCTGAAAGTGCGCCTAGAAGCTGATGAAAAAGAGCAGCAGGAAAGTAAGCATCATGCGGATTTGCTTAAGGATAGGGTAGAGAACCTTGAAAAAGAACTGGAGATGTCAAGAAAAAACCACGAGCTTGTGATTCTGGAAGCGGCGGATTCCAAAGCAGAGGTGGAGGCCCTAAAAGCAAAAATAGAGGAGATAGCCCCAAATCTGAGAGATCTGGAATTAGATCTTGTCAATGTAAGGGCAGAGAAAGAAAATCTGACAGAAGAACTGCAGAAAGAGCAAGGCCGAGTATCTGAATTAGAAACATTAAATTCTTCGTTTGAAAATCTATTGCAAGAAAAAGAGCAAGAGAAAGTTCAGCTGAAAGAAGAATCTAAAATTGCTGAGGAGAGGCTTCAAACACAATTGAAAGAGCTTCAGGAGAGAGTGACGGCCTTGTGTGATGACCAAGAGGCCTGGAAGGCCAGAGAACAGGATCTGAGTGGTCAAGTAGATTATCTTGAACATGAGAAGTCTCAGTTGCTGCAAGGCCTTGACGAGGCCAAAAGTAATTGCATTATTTTGCAGTCTTCTGTGAACGGCCTTATTCAGGAAGTAGAAGATGGTAAACAGAAACTCAAAAAGAAGGTCGAAGAAATCAATGTACTAAAAATTCAAATCGAAGACCGAGAGCAGCTTGTCTCTAAACTGTCCCAGGTGGAAGGAGAGCAGCAAGTTTGGAAGAGGCAAAAAGCAGACCTGGAGATTCTGACGGTGGAATTGGAGCAGAAGATCCAAGGGCTACAGTCCAAAAATGACGCTTTGCAGGACGCCTTTGAAGCACTGCAGGCTTCTCACAAGGACCTGGAGAAAGAACTTGAATTGACAAAAATGGAAAAAATATCTTTTGTTGAACAAGTAAGTGGCTTTATATACATTTACATGTGTTGTCACGAGGGAGGGAAACCACTGGGTGAGTTGTACTTCCTTCTGGACGGTGTTTGCAGTATTGGACCAAACTTGGTAAAGGCTTGAAGTTTACGGGGTCTTGACCTTTGGGGACATTCAGCTGGCTGCAGCAGTAGTGACTCTTGCTTTGCTGTGGCACACATTTGCATGGGACTCGTCTATGCGTTGGCCTAGGTTATCAGTGTGGCACCTGGACATGGGAGAAGCTCTGGGATATGCAGTTCCTGGTTCATTACACTTCCCTTTCCCACAATGCATCAGAATAGTAAACTCCCATACCCAGGTGAGAACCACTGCTGTAGAGGGTATAACGGGTACTAGTTAGGATCAGAAGGGAGCCCCTTCGCCCCTGCCTTGCCTTTATTGTCTTAGGAGAAAAAGCTGTTAGGGTGGTGATATTGTCACCAACAGAACCCTCACAGCTCCCAGTACGTGTCCTCGGGAATTTGTGCTTTCAATGCCCCTCTTTTGTACCTTCTTGTGCTGCAGGCTCCTGTTTTGTTAGCTGATGATTAAAGGGAAGATCTGCCATCAATAGGCTCACTTATTAATGAAAATTTAAATTCTTTGCCCTCTATGCTTGCTTACTGATGTAGGAAAGTGATTCCTTCAAATCACAGTTTTACTGGACAGATATTAAAGGAGCAAGGGCATGTCCAGAAAATGGGATCGATCATAACTGTGTTTTCCAAGAATTTCAAGTTTTCGGGTGGCTTGCAAGAGATGGCGGCTCTGGTGGAGATGATTAGGAAAAATATACCACACTATTTCAACGTCAGGGAGCAAATGCAAACGAGAGCCTTAGCTGGCCGTGCTGATCAGAGCCGTGTTTCTTGCAGCTCAGTATGGCATCGGAGGATTAATAGAGATCTTAGAAATGATAAAAATCTAAGACGCTGCCTCATACAGGATCTCTGAGGTTTAAGTTTAATTCAAATTAATGCCTTTATGCAGGACTTTAATACTAATATTATCTTTCCTTGTCAATCCTTTTCTTATTGCTGTCTTTTATTAAATCTTTGCTGAGAAGAAAGGATCTGAGCACCAGTAGAATCTGAGCATATTAATTGAGTGGATTAGTAAAAGGAGGCTTAGCTGGGTCCCATTTTCTTGTTGAAGCCTGAAGTGATGTCATGAATATGTTGTATGGAAGGGATTAATTTGATCAAAACAGACAACCAAAAGCAGGCCCTGATGAAAGATTAAATTTCAGGTGAATGCAATGACTTCGAAGGAGACTGAGCTGCAGAGAGAAATGCACGAGATGATGCAGAAAATGTCGACGTTGGAAGAAGAATTCAGCGGGGAGAAAAATCGGCTAACTGAAGAATTAAATTTAATGTCAGAAGAAGTAAAGAGCAGCAAAGTAAGTTTCTCTGTGACCGATGGATAATTCATTGTGCACATTCTTCTTGTTTGTTTTTGTAAGACCTGCTATGTCCCAAACTGTCTTAGCTTTGGAGAAAAGGAACCCCGCGCTTATGTCATGGTCAGACTTGCAGTCATCTTCACCAGCCAGCACTGCTGTGAGCCCAGGAGTCACGAGAGGCCCCTGAACACATACCCAGACCTGTCACGGAGCCCAGATGCTTTTTCATAGATGGGGGAACCCTTGTACTGTATTAACTCACAGCAGAAATAGATTTCACAAAGCTTTCAATAGGCTACTTTCCTAGCCTGCCGCAGATCACAAGCCAGAACGTTGCTGGAGACAGATGCACTGATCTAGCTAGGAACTAACAAAATAACAGAAAGTTCAGTAAGACGGAAAGGGAGAGCAGTCTCGGGTGCTATTTCAGAGCAGGTTTACTGTGGCAGATTTGTAGCTGCCCCTCCCCACTGCTGTTCCCATAGCAGAGGCTGCTGACTCAGACCGCCTCGATTCCTCCTGAGTCTCTTAACACTGAGCCCCAGGTAGCAGCCACTGTGCATGGAGAGCTGCAGATGCAGTGAGACCTGTGTGCCAGACCCAGGTACATGGTAAACATTCCCATATCCATATAGTCCTCATGCAGCTTCATCCTGAGGAATACTTACAAAAGGATAGCGAAATAGAGTTGGGATTATGACCCCGAATAATCGCAGTTGAAATGACATTTGTTACAGCCTGTATAAGAAGTTGGGGAAATTTGTACTTTCCTTTAACTACTGTATTTTAAGCTAATGAAAATTTAAAAGTTTTGGCATTTAATCTCAGCTATTGATTTAAGGAGTTTTCTGGCAATGCTTTGTGGAAGGAGTTTGTACCAATGATAAATTTGAGTGTTGCATCTGCTGAAATTGCCTTTGGCACTGAGCATCTTGGGACTATCCCAAGTATATTGTTATCTGTATTTCACTTTTAGGCTCTACTGAAAAGAAAAGCTAGGTGTTTAGCCTTAGATTTATACATATGAGTATGGTAGCTTGCAGTGGCTTCATTCACTCATTTATTTATTCTATAACTAACAAGCACTGCTAAGGTTAGGGGGCAAAATGTTGAACTGTAGGTCTCCTGTGCAGCTCCTACTCAGAGCTTATAGTCTAGGCACAATAAAGCATTAAATAGGAAACATGAAGTAATCACAAACTGCTAAGTGCTATAAAGGAAACAAATGAGATTCTTTATTGCAGAAAAACTGGGATTGGGGGGTGGGGGTAGGCAACAACCTAGTTGAGTTTGGTTGGTAAGAGAATGTCACATGCAAAGAACCGCTAGAAGACAGAACCTTCTGGGTCTAGAGAGCAGTGTGGTAACGTTTTGAGGTTAGAAAGATCTTTGTATTTTTTTAGAAATTGAAAGGAAGCCATTGTGGCTGGAATCAGATGGAAAATGATATAGAAAAAGATTGGAAAGGAAGGAAGGCCATGTTATGGTAAAGTGGTAGAATAATGTCCAGAGTGCCACCAAATACTCCAGGCTGGAGTTTGAAGAAAAGTTTTGGGGTGGGTACCTTCATTTGGCTAGTTTAGAATATAGGTCGTATTTAAAAATTATGGCAGTGGTAGAAAACACAGACTGAGCCCAGAGGACCTCCAGCGTGCGGGGTGAGATGGAGCAGAAGGAGGCCAACCAGGGGAGTATCATGTCCTGGCCACCAAGAGTGGAGGTTCTCTCAAGGCAGGAGTGGTCAGCAGCTCAGATCCTGCTGAGAGTCAGATGAGGCGAGGACTGAAGCGTGCCCCTTGGATTTGCAGCGTCGAGGTGGACGATGCCATGAAAAGCTACTTCAGAGGAGTCAGCTGAAATCAGGTTGGAGAGGGTTGAGTGAGTGGGACATGAGGCAGTGGACACGACATGCATATAGACACGATGAGGCAGCTGTTTGGGATCAGGCGCAGGCAAGGCAGATGCCCCCAGGGCTCGGGTTTTGCCTGTCCTGCACAAATGCCTGAGAGAGGGCATTTGGACGGACATTCTTAGTGACTGAACGTGGAATCTAAGCTGGTGAGTGTGCAGGTCGTGATGGTGGTGCTGTTGACGGGGTCAAGGAATTACTGCAATGGAAACACTTAAATAAGGAGCCCTGTAGCCTCAGAGGGTATAGCCCCGGAGTGGTTTAGTGGAGTCAGGTTTCAGAGATTCTGTGGTCTCAGTGGATGTGACCTTGGGGGTGGCTGGGCTGGAAGGGGAAATTGTCACTGCAGATGAAGTTGTAGTTACAGCGAATACACTGCTTATATACTCTTCTGTGCAGATTGTTGTCTTATTTCTATCCCCTCGGTACTCAGTATTTCCTGAAGAGACATGTTAAGGTTCTTGGTTATTTTCCCATGATTGTATAACTTTTCTCATTAGGGTCAATTAAAGGAATTCATGTTAGAAAACAGTGCGTTGAAAAGCAGCTTGGATTGCATACACAAAGACCAGATAGAAAAGCAAGAGAAAACGAGAGAAGAACTAGCTGAGTATCAGCTCCAGCTCCAGGAAGCTGAAAAGAAACACCAAACTTTGCTTCTGGACGCAAACGAACAGGTGAAGTGTGGAGTTTGGTTACTTGCGGGGGGGGGAAGGCTGGAAAGTGTGTGTTGACCATGGGAATGAGGCATTTTTTGCAAGAAGGTCAAAGTTCTGCATTATTATGCTAGACTACCTTAGGACGGGTCCCATCATGTTTTCGTCACTCCTTCCCCCAATTATCTGCACGTGTCTCATTTTATAACTGAATTTTTAAAGATTCCACCTTGGAGTAGAATAGTAGGAGAGTTTCAAGACCATTTGAAATGGTCCTTGGAACAGCAGTTTTATTTTTCATTTGTTTTGTTTACAATGTTTTTAGCTGAACCTCCTGGCTAAAGTAGCATTTTCTGCCCTAGCATGAAATGGAAATCCAGACGTATCGAGAGAAATTGGCTTCTATGGAAGAATGTCTCAGCTCTCAGAAGGTGGAGATTGACCTCTTAAAGTCCAGTAAAGAAGAACTGAATAATTCCTTGAAAGCGGCCACTGAGCTTTTAGAAGAATGGAAGAAAACCAAGGTATGTTTACTTCTCATTGTTTCATGACTTCGAATGGTTTATACAGAATAATCGTTGTTTTAATGGTATTGAATGATGAGGTTTCATTTTTATGAAAAAGGCTTTTATAGTTATAAATAATAATCTCATCAGTTCTCTGCTGAGTTTATTTTTTAAATATGTTTTTATTGATTTTTAGAGAGGAAGGAGGGGAGAAAGAGAGAGAGAAACAGAAACAGAGAGAAACACCCATTGGTTGCCTCCCGTCTGCACCTCGATGGGGGATCAATCCTGGGTATGTACCCTGACCGGGAATTGAACCTTTCCATGCATGGGTTGATGCCCAACCAACTGAACCACACTGGCCAGGGCACTGCTGAGTTTTTTTAAAAATCAGTGGATGGCCTACAGTCTCATAGCTTGAATGAACTTTATCCATTGCTCGGTGAACCCTCTCAAACTAGAGTATGTTAAAGACTTCTCGAGATAGACGTGAAGCTCAAACTACTAACAGATTAGGGGGTGCCCCTAGGTAACTTGGTGGCTAATTCTAAGGTCTTGCTTGATGGGTCTCCAAGTTCACTGCTGTCACCAAACCCACTTTCCTCTGGCAAAGATGAGGTAGAGCATTTGGTCAGGCACAGGTATGTGTGCACTCTCCTCTCCCTCTCTGTGGAGGGACCATAAAGCTCTTTTCTTTAGGGAACATGGAGGTGAACCCTCCTCTCAGGGTTCTTAGACGGGAGGTGGTGCTTCAGGAATTCTACTTGGAAAGGGAGGCTTTGATTCCTACAGATATTTTTCATAAAATGAATACCATCCAGAATGTATAATAACGAACCTGGAAAATAAATATCTTCCTGTAAAGGTCTTTAGTAAAAGATGATTTAAATTTTTAAAAGTATGATGTTTGTATATTGAATATATTCAGACAGAAAGCTAGGTATAAACTTCTTAGGTTTATCGCCCTTATACAGTTATCATGGTGAAGGAAGTATACCAATAAAATACACACATGAAATTCAGAATAACAATGGTCAGTGATATTCTTTTACAAAATGAGAGATGTTAGGTTGACTAATAGAAAGTAGTTTTGGGTATACCTTTTTATTTACTCCCTTTCTGCCTGTTTAATCTTTGACAGTTTCACTGTGGGAATGTCTATTTGTATACATACCATGTACAAAATGATGCATTGTGGAGTCTGTTCAGATTACATATAATTTTAATGAGGTATCAGTTGATAAGCATTGTTGAAATTGACTTAATCCATCTCTAATCCGGTTATGGTTGGAAACAGAAATAGAAAATTTCACAAGTACAGATGAACTGCAGCATTGCTAATAAGTGACCTCAAGATGAAATATACAAATAATTAAATTGCTAGCAGCATGGATAATGGTGCTTGGGTGTGTTTTTTTTATAGTTTGGTTTGCCTTTATATATTCATGATCTCTTATCAGTAACTCTTAGAGCTAAATTGTTTTAGAATTCTGCATTTTTGAGATATTACATAATACAATGCATATGCCATGTATTATATGATATCCTAATGGGACCTGGGGTAATACTTCATACCAATCCATATTTCTATAGCAAAATGTGTGACTGTTCTCAAGGTAGGAACAATAAAAGCTGTAAATACCTTGGTATCCGGTGAAGTTTTGCCTCTAAATCATTTGCAGAGCTTCTTTTGGATGTTGCAGTTGTGGTTAAGGAACTTGAACTCTCTGAGAAGTACATGAAGCTCTAATTCTCCCACCATTCTGTTCACTTTCCAGTTGCTACTGATAAAATTTAAATTTGTATTGTGATCCATAATATTCTTTAGCTTTCATTTGGTGTGACTAAAACAAATGCCATCTTAGGTATTGAAATTTTGCACCAGCACAAGATTACAAATGGGAATATAATTCTCTCCGAATTTTGGACTCACCAAGAATATGTCCGTGGATCCCTATTCCTGCCCTCTGGGTGTGATTCCCGTTGGATAAACACAGGCGTGGTGAGCCACTTAAGAGAACCTTGTCTTAGCACCACGCTTTATGCTTGCTGATACTAAGAAGGGGAGTGGCAAAATCAGTGTCTACTGGGGAGACTTGGGAAACTTAGTAGAAAAGGTGAATTGTTTTGTTCATCTTTAGATGTTTTAGTTTGAACATAATAATTCTTAAATTGTGTCTCATAATTAGTTTCCTCTGTCCTCATAAAAATATTGAAGGCTTTAAATTCAAGTGTTTGTTTTGTAGATGGACAATCTAAAACATGCAAGTCAGCTGAAGAAGGAAAAGGAGCGTGCCCAGGGGAAAATAAAGTTGTTGATCAAATCCTGTAAGCAGCTGGAAGAGGAGAAGGAGTTGCTGCAGAAAGAGCTGTCTCGCCTTGAAGACGCCACGCGAGAGAAACAGAAATCAGGTGGGGCCAGCTGGGCACAGCCAGGAGCCAGCGCTCGCGAGTCCTGGTGTGTGCACGGGCGTGGGTTTAGTGCTCTGTTAGTCCTGCGCGCTGATTCTCCGCAGTTGTCCATTTTCCAGTTTCTGAATTTTGTGCTCAGCTTGGGGTCATTCATAGGATTCTGAATGGAGCCTACATTTTGAAATAGGATTATCGCATCTTCTGTTCGATGAAACGTATAAAAATCTTTTTGCTGATGGGCCATTCCAGGAAGTTTTTTTCATGTGACGTCCATCTCTGTAGCTCCTACGTCACTGGCAGATTGGCCTTTGAGCTGGCGCTGGCAACTTTCAAATAGCTGATTCTGGTTGCCCTGGCCCATCATCGTGGACCAGCCACACGGGAGGGGTGGGGAGCTATAGTTTTGGATATGGAGGTAAAATAAAAAAGAAAAGACAACCTTTCTCCACTTAGGCTTGAGTGGAATGCTTCTTGCCATGTGGAAAGATGGTGGCGAACATTGTAGACGTGGCTCTTCTGGACCGTAGCTCGGCAGGGTGCTGGATCAAAGCTCAGCAGGGTGGGCCAATGATCTTTCCTGCCCAGAAGAGTCTTCAGAGTGTACTGGGCTCCGGGGAGTTTTTCTAATGGATTTTACGCCACATGGCAGCTACAAGTTAACCAAGACTCCTACCTTTATAGCATCCCCCAAGCTTTTGTCCATTGGACTCTCCAATGATTACAAATGGTTTTCAGAGCTTTTTGGACCTGTCTTTTCACTGTTCCCCTTCTGCCTCCCAAAACCATCACAACCAAGACTTCATATTCTTTACCAACTTACATTTTTGTCCATTCCCATATGGTGGAAAGATTGGACAGGGAACATGGGGGATGTGCTAAATTAATCCATTTGATCTCATAGGAGCAACTACAGGAAAGTTTGATGTGCTGGCTGACATACGAGGTTGAGAGTTTGGTGGGTTTTACTTAGGCTGGCCTATTAAGACTTATGTAATCTACTAGACTACTTACCTCGATGTGATCCCTCCCAACAAAGGGTTGTTTGAACTCTAAGAACATGCATAGATACATCTCCCCCACTTCTACAAAAGCATAGAAAAACAAGTCTAAGGTTTTTGCTTAATGATGTCCAGTGTCAGCTAGAGGAGTGTCAAGTGACATGATGTGACTTCTGACAGGTCCTGTTGTGGATGCCAGCGTCGATGAACTAATGACTGAGGTGAAAGAACTGAAAGAAACCCTTGAAGAGAAAAGCAAGGAGGCCGACGAATACCTGGATAAGTACTGTTCGCTGCTCATAAGCCACGAGAAGTTGGAGAGGGCCAAAGAGGTGTTAGAGACACAAGTCACTTGTCTGCGTTCACAACAATCTCAACCTAATGCCCAAAGTTCTTCGCCCAACTCTGTTGTTCCGGGACCATCTCCAGTCTCCTCTGTTACTGAACAGCAGGAATCATCTGGCCAGAGTAAAGCTCCAGGCAAAAGGCAAAGGCCCAGTGGGATTCGGGAGAGTGGGGGAGGAACAGCGCCTTCTACCCCAGACACTGTTCCTAAGAGAAGCCGGAAGGCGGCCAGAAGTGTTCACCCTGCAGAGGGTGCAGAAGACGCTGAGTTTGAGCTCGAGGGGCTTCCAGAAGTTGTAAAGAAAGGTATGGCATGGTAGTAAAACAGAATTATCTATGTCCTTTTGAAAACCCACATGGAATTTCCCATGTGAAAAGACAGAAGCGTTGAGTTTTAGGTTATTGTGCAATTAGGCGAACTAACATCAGAAGCGATCGCCTGCTTTTAAGGTGTATATTTTTCTTTATTTCATGAGACCAAATAGGATATAGTTGCTCATATCCCACTACAGAAAGTGCTAGTACATTTGCAAAATGACTTAAAAACCTGTTTAGAATCTGATATTCCTGTGTTGAAAAATCCCCATCTTGCCGTGTGGAAAGCTGATGGCGAGTGTTGTAAACATGGCTCTTCTGGGTACTCTTCAAGCTTTCCTGTTCATAGTCAGGCCCTGGACGATGGGCCCGATGATGCTGGCCCTCTGGCTGGAGCCATGGGACCCCCCCTTTTTTCTTTAAACCTCAGTGATCCTCCAAGTGCGTCCTAGGGACAGGGAACTTGTTACTGGTTTATCACCAAAAAAAATGTATAGAAATCAAGAGTAAGAGCTTAAAATTTTCATAGCAATTTGACATTGTCACAACATCCAAGAACATAATCATTTCTTTATGATTTGTTCTTACTGTATTGTATAAAAGTATTATTCCATAGAAGTTTAGAAATTATCCCCCTCTCCCCCTAAAATTATCAAAACTGATTCTTAGCCATAGATGGGTTGAGAAGCACTGTTCTGAGTCACTCTAGCCCTTAGGAAATCCAGCCCCAGAGAGTGAGCTTTTGTTTTCTCCTTACTGTGTTTTATTTGTAGTTAAAGGGTTAAAAACAAAAACAAACCAAATGTTGCTTTGGTAACCTGCTAATGCCACTCTGGAGTGTGTGTGATAATCCTGTCATTTAGTGTCCCTGGGGCTGATTTTCTCCTCTTGGTCATCACAAATCACGTCAGGGCCTTCTGTGGAAGGAGGTGATGTATGCAGCCAGTGAGACTGAAATCACTCTCAGCAAGGTCAGATCTCGCCTCTGAGAGGAGTCACCTGAAGAAGCTGCTAGCATTTTACATTTCCCCCCTGTAAACAAGAACTGGCCTTTCGTTTTTATTTTTTCTTTCCATTTTCCCCTCTTTTTCCCCCTCTCTCTAATCCAAGTTTTACAGAAGGGCCTATCTGGTGTGTTCTTCAGATGTTAGAAAAACACAAGTTAAGACATCCTCATAGAAGAAGCAGGGAAATCTTGGTATTTTCCCATTGTGTGTTTTTTTTTACATTTTTAATAAGAGAAAACCTTTTAGTTAGTTAGTTAGTTATTCAGTTTGACGGCTCCCAGGGTAGCTGTGAAGTTAATCTCTGTCCACTGTGGCTAGGAGAAAGCGTTTTTGGAGTTCCACTTATCTCGGTTTATCTCGAATGCGTGTCTTTTCCATTATGCATGGAATTGGACCTAGCAGTGTTGACAGGCAGCCTTTTCTGTCCTCAGGGTTTGCTGATATCCCAACGGGAAAGACAAGCCCTTATGTCCTGCGAAGAACAACCATGGCAACGAGGACCAGCCCCCGCCTTGCTGCCCAGAAGTTAACACCATCCCCACCAAGTACCCACAAAGAAAATCACGCCGAGACCTCGAAACCAACAGTGGGTGGCAGCAGATCACAAAAGGTAAATTCCTCTGAACAGTATCTGCAGTTTGAAATCCAGGAAATGAGTGTTCCCCGGGTGAGGGTTTGACACTGCGCTCGGACTTGGGAGCCCTTCAAAGCCTGTCCTTCCTCTCTGCCTGAGGCGTAAGTGGGTCAGTGAGCAGCCCTGGGGATAAGTATCACTGTTGTGCTCTCTAGTCTCGTTGACCCAGCAGGCCAGGTATGGAGTTTGATGGCAAGTGGCATTGTTAGACCTCAGAAGACTTGTAAGAACATGTCAGATGTTACCCTTGAAGGATTTGAAGAGCTAGTTTTTCTTTTGGCACAGGCATCGGTCATAATAGTTTCATGCTTTTTCTTCTCACCCAGCTGCACCGATTCTTCACTTTTTATTACTCCTTTACTTTCTACATAAAGCACATATTTTATGAGATGTGTAAAGTAAGGAGCTCTGTTTATGGATACAATTTTGCTTGTTGAGAGCTAGGACCATAGTGATCTCTGTCCCTTGCAAACAGCCCAGTAAATGTTATTTAAAGCATAGGGAATGTTTGCTTAACAAATGTTGGTTGCATCACTGTAATCCACACCTGCAGCTGCCGTTGGGGGACACAAGTGTGTGCATCCTATTGAATGCTCACATTTCGTGTTCTCTCTTTATTGACCTCTCACTGCAAGTAGTATCGTGGAAGGAGGAGGAAAGTGAGAGTCAAAGGTTTAACGCCCAGAGTTCAAGCCTGCTCTCTCCCTCAGTGCCATGGTCTTGCTTTTCTCCCAGTGTTTCGTCAGCTACGGATTACAGGAATATTGTTGGAAGTTGCTGGAATAGCTTCAAGAATATTAAAACTTGGTTGATTTTTGCTTGCTTGTCAGAGTTGAAGTGTGCAATCTGATTAACTTGAACCAGCAAATGAAGCTTTGAAAGTGTCGTCACCCCTCTTAGTATAATGTAATGACTCTGAAGTCAGCGGGTGCGCTTCTCATTGGGGTTTTGGGTACCAAAACAGTGACATCGCCGATTAGCTGCATCAGAATGAGCATATTTGCAAATTTGTTTGTTGATGTATAAGAGGTCTAAGTATTGAGGAATTTATATCTAGTATTAAGTTTATTCATAATTTATATTATAGTAAATTTTTTTTTAAACTCAAGGGTGAGGAGGAAAGGTCTGAAATTTTCTTTCACTCATTAAAGTCGACCATCCATTACTTATATTAGAAATATTCTACTATTTTGTGCAATGTTTTTCCTTCCTCCATCAATTACCCCATTTCTCCCCCCCCCCGCTCCCCCCAACACATACACACACACACAGACATTTAGATTTAACGTTTAGATCTGGTAACAACAAAACACTGAAGAGAGTTTATTGAATAGGTCCTGACTTTCCAGTGGCCATAACAACAGCTTCTTTTCCATAAAGCAACCAGTGCCTCTACATGGTGAAGCCTCCAAGCTTGACCAAAGTTGTTACCCATAAGCTAGCCCTAGACCTGCAATCCAGGGGTCAGGTTTAGATCCAGGGGTCAGGTAGGGCCGGGCCATTTCCTTAGCTGGCTGCCTGGGAGCTGCTCCCTCCTCCTCAGTGCACACGAGTAGCCCTCCTGCTGGTCTCCCACTTGTGGGGATGAAGCGAAGTATTTGCCTGGCTCTTTAAACAGAAAATCATGACTAGGTAGAAGTGCCCTGCACTTCCATTATTTTATGCCAGTTCACTTTATTGTAATTACTTTCTTAAAAGTCTGCCTTCTGAATTGCAGGGTGAATTCTGTGAGGTTCCTGATTATGGTTTACCAGTGTCCCCATGTCTGATACATGTCTGACATTCAACAGATGTTTGTTGAATGAATGGAGCTGTTGATGTTGTCCTGAAGTGACTGCAATAATGAATAGATGGTTAAAGGTGTGCTAGGAAATCATCTCATAAAATCACACGGGTCATTTTCCCCTTCTGTGATCAGGAAGTGATAGTAAAGCAGTTTACATGTGGAGTTGAGACTTAACCTCTAAGAAAACAGGCTTTGCACACTAGGGGGCCTGCTCGCCACACTGCTGTTGAATGTCCAGTGCAGAGTTGTAACCATGGTTTCCTGCAGATCGGCTATCGGTGTGCTAGCTACAGGCGGCAGGAGGCAGCAGCGGTTATAAATTGCTAAGCAATTCGTGCACGTGTGCAAGTGAATGGGGGGTTCCCTCTTGAGAGGAGGTTATAGGAGACTTCGTGATTAGATGCAAACTTCAAAACCCAGCCTATTGAATTTTAATTTAATTCAGCATTTTCTGAGTCGCCTTATAAAATGCTTGCCTCATCTGTTAAGCATATTTCATCATTCAGTTTGAAAAATATAGAGCAGGGCATCACTTTTCTAAGGCAGCTGCTTAGAAAGTCTGGATTATGAGCCTTTACCTGAAGGGAATGGCTTGAGTTTTGAGTGAGATGATTCCCTGGGTCATGTAGCAGGACCGTTGGTGACATCTGACAAGTTCAGGGGGGAAAGTGGGTGAAACACAGGCAAGGTGAGGGTCATTCTCTTATGTCTCTGGGGTGAATAAGTCTAGGAGCCCCTAGCTTGCTGGGGACAAAGGAGCATGTTGTGTGTGGACTTGACCTGAACCTGGGGTTGGCTGGTGCTGGTGGATCGACCACTGAATTGTGGAGGAGGATGGTGCTGTCACTGCAGCATCAGTCAGTCACCAGTATGGGGGGCTTGCTGTTTTTCCCCTGCTAATGAGGTCCATTTTCACTGAGCTGTCCGCACACTTGCCCTCTCCTCATGTGGCTGCCGACAGTTGGTAAGACAGTTAGGTTTCGGATGCACTTAAGAGTGTAAGTACTTGGTGAATTTGACCTCATTATTGATAAATCTGAGGCTAACTGACGAACATGAGGATCAAAGCATAGCTTAAACTCTGATCACAGACTATAATTTCCCCAACTCAGAAAAATTGAATCTAGAGGTGGGGGAAGTGCAGGGATGGACTTTGGCTGTTTAATTGGGGTTAAGAAAGAGTTTTACTAGCTCAGATTCTCTTTTCCCAATGTGAGCTTTCTCTTTTTTTATGGTGAACCTAGAAATTTGATTCTCCTGCATCTGATGGGTTCAAGGGAAATGCCTGCCTTTTATATCACTTTCTACTTAAAAAAAAAAAAGAGTACCATAAAACTCTGTTTTTTTCCTTCAACTTTCCATGACTGTGATTTTCCACTGAGTCCTGGTCCTGGGCCTGCAAGGCTGCTGCTCCTTTTACATGTCCTGCACATAATCGGAGGTGGAGGAGGGCTTCCCAGGGATTTGATCTGTTGGCCAGATTTGCAATGGTTTCTGTAATGAAAAGTATTTAGCTGCCTTTTAAAGCAACGCACTTCCTATGGAAAGAATATAAGTGGGGAAATAATTTCCATTCTTCTTACTGCTTCAGAAGGAGGTCACCGGCAGTTGGCTGCTTCTCAGTGTCGGTGCTGGGCACACATCACCCTTGTCAAGGGCCCGTCCTCCAGTTTTACGTAAAGGTCTTCCTCCCTGACTCTCCCACTCTGGCCTTTAACTTTGGTTAAATGAAGCTGTTGTGCACTTCACCTGTCTTGCTCCATTTTCTCTTCAACCCCCTTCTTCTTTCACTACGTGTAAACCTCAGAAGTCCTGACTCTCCTCTGCTTCTTACAGTCTCACATTTTCTGAGATCCTTCCTGCTCTTAAAAGGCAGGACATCAGAAGGGGGATTTCCTACCAGCAGACTTATTACATAGCTGCCCTTCTGCTGTGATCCAAATCCCATATGGGAGCAAAACAGCCATGTAGGGAGGGTTAAAATGCCCTTGCGTGAGAAACAGGTGGTAAGTCTTTTAAATGTAGATAAAGCCTACACCCTGTGGAGGTCGCATTACTCATTTGGAATAGATTCCTTGGAGTGACAGCAGGGGCTCAATTAGGATAGATAGAAGCTGGCCTGGATTCTCTCTTGGGTGTGTATGGAACGGTTGCCAGGTAGTCAAGCGTATTGTGGGCACAAGGGGTGCAAAGGTAAAGGGGACATAGTCTTCGCCTACAAAGAGCTGCCCTGTGGTCTGATGGTGTCACACTGGCCTTGGGAGCCCGCCTGGCCGTCAGAGGTGTCAAGGTTTGCAAGGTGACTCGTCAGAGGTTGGGCCCGACATCTCCCTAGTTGTTCGATGGGGCCTGTTCTTAGGCGAGAGGACGGGGTGAAGCTGTACAACTCCCTGGGAAGAAGGGTTTAACTTAACATTTGGTGACAGCGTTTTTGATGCTGCAGAAGTGGGATGTGGTCAAAACCTCTAACAAAGGTGCTTGTGTTGCAGGTCAAGGTCGCCCATGAGAGCCCAGCGGAGCGGGGCGCCACCCTCCGAGAACCCACCGCGAGGCCGCTCTCGGTCAGTAACCTTCCTGAGAGGCGCTCAGCGGGCAGCCCCCGGGAGGGCCTGAGGCCCAAGCGAGGCCGGCTCAGCCCCGGCCCGGAGGCCGCCACCAAGCCCAGCGAGAACTGTCGGGTCCAGTAGAGGAGACGAGCCTGCGTCTTGGGACCCCCAGCAGGTGGCTGTAGTGACTACACAGCAGCGTGCCGGCAAGGGCTTGTCTTTAGGCAGGGACACATTGTCAGTGGGAAGAAGACAATCCCTTATCAATCTAACTGCATTGTACTCTTTGGATCCTCCATTAGAAGTGTTTGGAAGCCCTGATCACCTATTCCGCATGGATACTCCTTTTCAGTGTTGTAAATTGTAGTGTAGAAAGCCTTTTGGTAATATTGCACTTGAGTGGCAAGCACTATATTATAACTTCTGTTTGTGTGTGGATTTTATACTAAAAAAAATGCAAAACATTGTATACTTCCAATTAATAGCTCCCAGGAAAATGTAAACTTGCCTTATGCTATTTCCTGTGTTTAGTTTTAGATTGAGAATTTCTTTGAGCTGAGTTAAAATGAAGGAAAACCATGTTATATGTTTCTAAGGAAAATATGCTCACATATACACATATGGCCATGTCCACCCTTCTCTTCCAACGTGTCTTCTAAATCTTTGTTTATATAATGTGTACATATTTGTATGTGGCGGTGGTGGGAATTGTGTATTTACTTCCAAGTAGCCTGGTTGCAGTCTCCTTGAAGGTGTAATATATCAAATTTTCTGTCATTGTGATACTCATTTTTTTAAAAAAATTTGTCATGCGTGCTCACAAATAGTGATGTTGTATTAAAATAAGGCATTTTTTTCCTACTAAAAAAATCACTTTTCTTTCTGTAAAAATGACTCCTAAGTATAAATGCATTATGAACATTGAGACCACCTCCTGCCAACTTCAGCAACCTCTTACAAAAGCAAAACTGTTCAGCAAGTGACATTTGTGTACATAGTGAGTGAACATACTCAGTTACAGTGAAAGACGATTCAGAATATGGGCCATGAAGATTATATGGGAATACACTACGTCCAGCCAGTGTCTACCATATTGAGTGTCCCCATTAAATCGTATCAGCAAGGACACAAGTATGTGGTATTTTCCAACACATTTGGATGACAGGGCTTTGAAAATATGCAGGCATTATGAGCCATATCAAATCTAAACACTTTGGAACGTGTCCTTGTGGCCTTGAATCAGGGTAAAAAAGTTTTCCAGGATACGAGTTAGGAAAAGATCATTTGCTCTTGGCTTTCTGTCCAGATTGATGGGAAAATCTTGACCAGCACCCTCATTTGCATTTTAACACTGTCCTTTGCAGGGTGGCCGCTGTTGCATAATGCTTCAGGGATACTAAGCTGCTTGGTGCTCCTGTACTGAAAGCTGATATCCGGACTCGCCTCCTGTTTCTCTGGTAGCTCGGGGTTTTGTCTGGTCAGTGTCCTTATCACAAATCATCCCAAGGCTGCCATGTGCTCAAGGGCATGGCCCCGAGCAGACCTCCCTGGGACTGGGCCATCGGCTTTGTTGGCCGTCCCCAGTTACTGGAAGATTCCACCGGTAGGTCTGGCTGAGTAGTCCTGTGGGTCCTTGAAAGCCTCTGTTCTGTGGACCGCTGCTGCCCCTGCCCCGTGACGGGGGCACTTGGCCTGCTGCAGGGAGTGCTCGGCGTGCTTTCCCCTTTCATGCCCACAGCCTCGGGAATGAATAGCCAGGACGTGGCGTTCCCGTAGCCAGCAGCACTCGGGCTGGGGGCCGAGCTGCGTTCGAGATGAAGAGTAAGTGTGCTACGGCCCCAGCTCTGAATACCTGATGCGCAGCCTCGGCGCAAAGGTCTCAGCTGACAAACCCGAGGGAAAGGGACCAAGTCCAGAGGCCTAGGAATCGGGCCATTGTCTGTATAATGGGGGGGTTGACCGGAGACGATTCTTTCATCTTGAATATTCTGTAGGAACAGAGATGGCTCTGGGTTTGGGGGAATTATCGAGAGTCCAAAGGGACTGTATCTTCAGCGAGAAGGGGGTGAACCCAATGTTTTAATGGAGCCTGATTTCCGAAGAGTCACCCTCCACCCCTGCACACACACTAACTTTTGAGATTTATTTGTTGTTTTTCTCATTTGAAGCCAATCTATTTTGTTGGACCTACAGTATCATTTTCACAAGTTTGGACCTGGAGAGAAGCCAGGGCACATCTTTCCAGAGTCCCCTCACTAGGAGGGGAGACGTGTTCACTCGCCAACGGTTTTGAGTCCACAAAGATGCCTGACTGCTCTCAATGTGACTCACATTGACCTGAGCATTTCCAAGTTCTTTAAAGTCATTCAGGCTGTGTCAGTAATATCTTGGGAGATAAATTATGGTCAACTATTTAAGTCAGAGTGTACTAATCATTGGCCTGCATGTCCTATTTCTCTTGTGGTTGAGAAAGGGAAACAATGATTTCTTGGAGGACACCAAGTACTGGAGTTGGTAGTTGAGAGCTGAGCTCTGCTCTCTCTCCCACTTCTGTTCATGTCATAGAATAGAGGAAGGGGCTGGGTCCACTGACTAGAGAGAATAGAACTTGGAGTGACCCGGGACAACCAGGCCATTCTAATACCTACCTCCTGGAAGACCCAGGTATCTATCTAATGCCAACACTCATCTGAGCTATGGCTCAACGAAAAACACTGGGCAGTTACATACATACTACAAAGTGTTTTCGCATGTTGCTCAAACCTTACACCTTTGGGTCTAATGGAGACATTAGGATCTCCATTTTATAGGCTGGAATTAAGAGATAGAACTGACCCATACGTCTGGGGACACCTTGTTAATAATTATAATAATATATATCACAACATTTGTGCAAAATGGAGATTATCTTCATTGGGTAAGAGATAAAACAGGGTCGGAGCTGTTTTCAACCTCAGTTCTGTGAATAAGAGCCCACTATCTTGTGCCCACTCTCTAAGGCAGGCTATTCAGAGTAATCCTCACAGTGCAGATGTATTCAGGTGACAGACGCATTCCTCGTTTCCCTGTGCAATGCAGATGTCCTTAAGCCTAGGCCGATGGCATCTGACTTGTTACCATATATTAAATTTTCAAACACATAAAGTGAGATTAGCTATAAATGTCAACTTCTGAAAATTATAACTACTAACTTAATGCATAAGCATTATTTAAGTAAATCCTTTTAAAGAGTATTTTGGAAAACCTTGCAAAATCTAAGATTTTTAAGGTTTTGAATACAAAAGTTTAGTATAAATGTCAATATTACAAGTGAAAGTCAGATGTTAAAATGCCTGAGCTGCCCATGCGACTGGGCAAGTTAATTCACTGTGCCTCAGTTTCCTCTGGTAAAATTGGGAGTAATTTCCTGAAGTTGTCATATTGATTAAATTAGTTAATATTTAACTATATGTCTGATTTTGCACTCAATATATTGTTGGTAAGTGTGTATACAGATAATTACATAATTTTAAATTTTGCAGCTTAAAATTGTTAGATAAACGTGTTCATCTCACACGACATTAATTTCAGATTAAGTTCTGTCCAAATTCTCACCATTCTCAGTACCATTCATTCTTATTATGTGAGTTCATTCATCATAGACTCGTATAAATCATTAAGTTACTAATGCTGCAAGTGAACCATCCACAGATTTTCAGTTTTTTGTTTGGCTTTTTAAAAATACCCAAGGTAAACAGTTACTAGAGTGATTATGGATGAATTGTATTGCTGAAGTTCATGTGTAAATTGGTCATTTGGAACTCAGAATACATTTTCTTATAGAGACAACATTGTAAATTCAAGCCCGGAAAGTCAATTTAGTTATAATATGTTAAAATGGCAATGGGGGTTGGTTCCATTCTACAGAACTTCCACTCATAGCACTGTTTGTCTAGAAAAATCTATTTCAAGCACTGGGTTATTAGAAACTCATTTTTCTGCCCCTGAACCATTTTTCCAGTGGGGTGTTGGACAGGAGCTGTCTAGTGGTCTTGGGAGAGTCATGGTAAGTGTGGATTCCTGGCCTCCACCTTTTAACCGCAGCTGCTCCCAGTGTGAAAGGGAGCCTGGTGGCTTCTGCGTAGGTTCTGAAGCTACAGGTAAGGTCCGCCCTGTGTACCGTTGATATGTTTGTTGTGCAAATGTAAGTGGTTTGTTCTACTGATGTTTTAGGAAATCACAAGCACACACACATCCCCAAACTTCACACATTTTTGTTGACTTGCAGATGGAGTCCAGCCCACAGATTCCCACCAGCCTCCACCCCTCAATGCAATGGGTGTGGCAGATGAGTGGGATCACTGGACTTCGCTATACTCTGTTCTACTTTACCTTGAGGATGATCGGAGGGTAGTGTTGACCTGTATAAAATATATTTGCCAAACGCAATCCAAAGCCATTTCAAATGCTTTATCTCATTTGATATTAATAATCTTGTGAGATGCGTCCTATTTTACCACTCAAAAATAGACCCAAAGAGGTTATTAAGTGTGTGGCAAAACAAAACTGAGGCTCTAGTCTTGATCCCCAGTCCACGGCTCCTCCACTGTTATCATACACCCTTCAGTTGAGAGTAAAGGGATCCAGGGGCCCAGGAAGCCAGACAGCAGCTTGGAAAGTTCTAGGATCCATTCTGAACCCAATGGGAGGGCCGAAGTTTCCTTCTTTCAGGGCTTAGGACAACTCTGCACCTGAGGAAAATGTGCTTTGCTTAATCCTTTGATGTAGTCACAGATTTGGTTCCCAGCAAAAGCTCCTCTGTTGTCATAATAGGGAATTTCACTTTTGTTTTTCTCCGGTGCCGCTTTTGCAAAGAGATTGGAAAATAGCAGCTTTCCACAGTTACAGACGTGTTAGCGAAACACTGGAATATTCCTGAGTTGTAAATGCGAGCGGATCCTCTTGCTGTTGAAATCACAGCTGTGTTATCTAACAGCATTTGCTGGCTGGGCGCCCACCCCTTCCTGCTGGGCCATGGGCAGTCCCCGCGAGGGTGTTACTTGTCCTGGATACCATCTGCTGGTTGCTCGAAGGGTCATCTTCTTGGCCTTAGGCCAGCAGAGGGTCATGAGGGTGCCCTGTGTTAGCCCACAGTGCTCAGTCTCTGTGCTATTTCTGGACGGCCTATCTCACACGCCTACACACGGGCTGTGGACACTCCTTAGACTCACAGACACGTGGGGAAGGAAAGACGAGCCCTGCTGCGATTTGTACCCAAGAGCAGCAAGTGCAGAGACTTTCCTTCCGAAGCAGCCTTGTTCGGAGCAGACAGGTGAGCTGCTTCGGTGTTTTCAGAGGCGGGCATTCACCTAGGGGACAATAGGGTTCCAATGTCTCCCCTCCATGTGGAGAGACCAGATGATTACAGACTTCATCTAACATTTTAATGGAAGAACTAACAAATGGAGGAGACCCATTGTTCCTAGAGTTTAAAACAAGTCCTTACTGAGAAGATTTACTTCTCACTCCACTTACCAATCTGTTGTCATGAAAACCAGAAGCCCAAATTAGCATCCTAAGTCTTGTCCAACATGTATAGCAAAATTAGATTCTTTTTTTCTCCCTTGAGGTTGTCATCAATTCATTTAAGGAGAGACTATGTTGCTTTGTAAGGGTCACACTGATTTCCCGAATGTGGCAATAGTCAATGACGACCTACTCTTCAACCAAACTCAGGCAGTTTTTACAATTATCCCCAGACAGGAAAGTTTGGTTGCTGTGGTTGAGATACTTGGTTACCTGCCCAACTGTCACTCCTACTTTCTTGCAATTAGAACCCACTTTTGTCCAGTTGTTGGGCAACGTTTGCTCAAGAAACAGGGCCCCGTCACCAGGGACGGAATGTAGGTAGC